TACGCGTGTTAGTAAACTTCAAGATAGTTAAGTCAATAATGTAAATAAATCAAATATGAATTGAAATATAGATTTGGGACCAAACCCTCAGAACTATCAACCTTTCACGTCGAGGTCAAAGGCAACGTCGAGGAAGTCTTAGAGTACTCGAATCTCGTGAATGAGGTATTGTGATTGATTTGGAAGAGTATCAAGGATGTGTTTAGGCTAAGGCTAAGAACATTGGAATTGAGAATTCCAGGTATTATGAACTCTGGGTTAAGATGAGAATTATGATGGTTGTTGACGGCTATTGTCCATGATCTGAAACGGGGAGAAACGACCTCTATTTATAAGGAAAAGAGAGAGTCGAAGCGATCAGAAAAGATCAGAATTTGAATCGGAACAAAATAGGTTTCATCGTGTGGCGATAGAAGTATCGCAGCGCGATGGTGCTGTCGCGGTGCTATAGTCCTGCAGTTTTGCGATTTTTGTTTTTATCATAACTTTTGATCCAAAAATCGGAATAAGATAAATAATATATCGTTGGAAAGCTCTGGAAGTCTACATTCCAACCCATTTGGAATAAAATTGATATATTTTGTAGAATTTGATATATTATCAAAATAGTGGAATTATGTCTGTTTAGGATTAATAAAAGAGAAGGTTTACTCAACCTCAAGCTCGTTGATCTTTATCTTTTCGAAAAGGATGGATTAGAACCTCTAACTCTTTTATCTTTATCTTTTCGAAAAGGATAGTTTAGAAACTTCTAAAAGAGTCCTAATTGATTTAGGATTAAGAGTAAGACATTTGGACCCTCATATAATCATTGGGTCATAGGTAAGGTGGACCTAGGCTCAGTTTGCATGGGCTCGGTTTAGTATTTTGGCCATAACTTGTTCGTTTTAAGTCGAATTTGGGCTTATAATATATCGTTGGAAAGCTCTTTTCAAACCCTATCCAACTAAACAATAATTGGACCAGTATTATGGACCAAAATAATCTGGTTAGGATGTTTTTATGATTTGGACATGAAATGAATGATTTTGAGGACACGAAATGAATAATTTTGAGTTTAAGGACACGAAATGAATGATTTTAAATTAAAATGACGGAAAGAACGCACACAAGACTCTAGACATGGTTGATATGTTCATTTTACATAGTGTTTTACCTCCGTCCCTTGGTCATATTTGGGAGTATTCTTGGCTCTTTAGAGCCACTTCTATTACTAATATGCGTTTTCTAGTGTTTTCGTAGTTTTGGTATTGTTTTATAGGAAATTGCGGATTTGGAGCATTTTCCCGGACTTATTTGAGTCACTACGAGCATTGGAGTAGGATCGTATTCATTTGACCACATTCCGAAAACAAGGCCGCGTTAGAGCAATCAAACCGGTGATTAAGGGCTCGGTGAAAAAAGAAGAGTTCGAATTCGACCGAGCTTCAAGGCCCCAAAGAGGAAATTCGAATTGGGCCAAGAGAGTGGCCCAATAGAAGAAACTCCCTTGCCCAAGAGCTCGCCCAACCAGGGAGTGCCCTCGCTCTGAGGCGCGCCCGGCCGAGCGAGGCAGAAGTAAGAGAAGTGTCCTCGCCCTGAGGTGCACCCGACCGGGCGCGAGTGAAGATCTTCTCACCAAAAAGGCGGGCACCCGGCGCGTGTTTTTTAGGGGTGTTTTGCGACTTTTAATTTTCGTTTAAGTTTAGGATTTCTAGCTTAAGTATAAATACGCTTTTCTAAGCGAGTGACGATTAACTCTCTTCTCATTAGTTAATTTCTCAGATTTTAGTTTTAAGCTTTTGGTTAATACTGTTGTTTTCTCTCTCTACACTTTTAGTTTATGCAATTCTTCATTTCCGTTTATTTTGGTAACGATTTCTTCCTCTTTTATTTTCAATAATTAATTGCTTGATTAATTATGTCTTGTTTATTTGTTTTGCTTAGTTTAGATTTAAATATGTGTGAGTAGTTTTATTTCTAGGGTTGCGCGGATCCATAAATAATATGAAGGGGTAATTTATTATTGTTGATTGTCAATGCTTGATTGATTTCCTATAGATTGATTTAATGTTATGCAAGTAGATTTGGCCAGGTTTAATTGTATGAGTTATACAATATTGATTCGAGACTCGAGAGATGAGAATTGATGTTTAGGCTTAGTTTCAATAGACAGGTTAATTTATAAATGGTTAAGTCAAGATTCGAGAGATGCGATTTAATACCGGTAGATTAATTTTGTGATTGTAATATGTAGCGAAAGCCCTTTATAATCTGATTAATTGATGTATTGATGATTAATTATCGTGTTTTACCCTGGAATTTTATTTATTGGTGAACCTATAACCTAGACTTTGATTTATTGATTTCTCCCTTATTTAATTTGCTTTACTTTAATTATTCTCCTTAGTTTGATTCCCATAAAAATAAATTGGTTACTTGCTAAACTAGATTATATTAATTATTTAGGAATAGAAAGACTTGTTTCCCTGTGGATTCGACCCAACTTCCCTATCTACTTTAGTTAGAGGAATTAGGTAATTCTTTTGATTATTAGGTGATACAACTTTAGCCTGTCAAAATTTGGCCCCGTTTCCGGGGTTTATTCCTGATTATTTATGCAGTCCAGATTATTTTCTTTCGTCTCAGAGAACGCAAGTTCTTTGGGATAGTTTCTCATATTCGTTTGTTTAATTCTGTGTTAATGCCTAGGAGTTCTAGATCAGGTTACATTCCATTCGATCCTGAAATTGAACGTTCTTTTCATAGATAGATGAATCTTTTCATACAAGTACGAGCTACTTCCAAGGGCAATACACCTTTGGAACCCCCGTCTGATTCTAGTGACACGGAAGTTTCTTCAGAACCAGGATCAGAGATGATGGCTCAACCACCTCGCAAGCTGAGCGATTATTCGCAGCTGTCCCTGATGGATTTTCCACATCTTGCTCCTACACCTTATCTCGAGGGAGTACAATTCGAGATTAAACCCCAGTTTATTACTATAATCGAAAGGAAGCAATTTAACGGAGCTAAGGGTGAAGATCCAAATCTTCATATTTTGGATTTTTGCCAATATTGCAACACTATTAGGCAAGCTAAGGTCACGTAGGACCAAATCAGGGAGATTCTTTTTCCCTTTTCTTTATGTGGTAAAGCTAAATTATTATACAATGGGTTGAATAGAACTGCACTTGGTATTACTGACTGGGATACTCTTGCTTTGAATTTCTATAATAAATATTACCCTGCAGAGAAGACAGCTTTATTAAGAAGTTCAATCCAAAATTTTGCCCAAGAATTTGATGAAAGTCTATATGATGCTTGGGAAAGATTTAAGGATTTGCAGAGAGAATGCCTCCATCATGGATTAACGTAGTGGCAGATAATCCAGCCTTCTACAACGGGCTTGGAACATCTAGATCAATTCTTGACTCAGCAGACAATGGAAGATTTATGAATCTTCAAGTAGATCTCGCAGGAACAGTTATTGAAGAGATGACAATTCATAATTCCCAATATGGGAATCCTAGAGATTTTGCAAACAAGGGGAAACATAATGTCGATTCCGTATCCTTTGTGCAAGCCCAATTAACCTCTATTTGTCATAAACTAAATAATATTAGTATTGCTATTCCTACTTCTGTAACTAATGTTTCTACTATCAATAATACTAACGATGCTTTTTGTGAAAATTGTGGAATTGTAGGTCATCAGGAACAAGATTGTAGGAGTTCCATGGAGCAAGTTAATGCCTTCCAAACCTATAGGCAAAATAACCCATACTCTAACACTTATAATCCTCGTCTACGAAACCATCCATATCTTTCTTACCGGAGTACCAATGTGCAAAACCCTCCACCTCCACAACAACCACAACAACAAGCTCCACAACAAACACAACAAAAATATTACCAACCTCCTAACCAAAGGGCCTAACCACAAAATCCATCTCCATCAACCGACCCTGCCTTGTCAGAAATTAGAACGATGTTAGCTAGTATGCAAAAGCACATGCAGAGTAGGGATGCACAAATTGATTCGATCTTAGCTCATAATAAAATCATGGATAATCAAAATTGCGCAACTTTCATCTACTCTACAAACTCGCAAGCAGGGAGCCCTACCATCGCAGCCAGTACAACCTACAAATCATGCAAATGCAATTACTCTGAGGAGTGGTTCACACTATGATGGACCTCCTATGCCTAAGGATGATGAACCTATTTTAATAAAAATTGCTAATCCTGATTCTGTTATACCAAATGATCTTGTTACTGGCCTTGCAGGGCTCCAGGGTAAAACTAACATATCTGATGATACATTGCAGGGTACAACTCCAAAGAAAGTTATAACTCAAGACAAGAGTGGAGATGTACAGAAACCAGTTATCAAACTACCATTCCACTACGAAAATCAAGTCATTTAGCTACAGGTCGAATCCGTTGCTAATTTCCACTTATCCGTCGCTAGATTAAGCTAGCAACAGATTTATCAACGATATCATTCTGTTGTTAAAAGCCTTGTTGCTAAATGAGCTTAGCAACAGAAAACATGTATAACCGTAGCTGATTTAGAGACAGAATATTTTTCGTTTCAAATTCTGTTGCAATGACTTAGAAACGGAAATTAAAATTCCGTCGCTAACTTTAGCCACGGAAATATATAATCCGTTTCTAAACTAGCAACGGAAATATATAATCCGTTTCTAAAATTAGCAACGGAAATATATAATCCATTTCTAAAATTAGCAACGGAAATATATATAATCCGTTTCTAAAATTAGCAACGAAAATATACAATCCGTTTCTAAAATTAGCAACGGAAATATATAATCCGTTTCTAAAATTAGCAACGGAGACATATAATCTGTCGCTTATAGTAGCGCTTTAAAATTTTATAATCAAGCTTCTGTTCTTATTTGGTTTTTTTTTTTTTAATTATAAATTTTCTATCATCACTTAGTTCAATGGTCACATGACATTTAAATGCACTGTAACTTTGAATGTTAAAACAAAAAAAAAAAAAAAAGAAATTTATACCAAAACAATGATCTGAACAAATATTTAAAGGCCAAGTTCATAATTACATATGTAGCTTCAAGGGAAGAGCTTGTGAGAATTGTAACTTAAATATAAAAGAAGCCCTCAAAATATGCTACCCAACTTGAACCTATTTAGTGCCATATGTAATTACAAAATATGCTACCTAGCTTGAACCTATTTTAGAAGCATGTCAAATTAATAACTTACTGACTTTACATGCATGTACAAAAAGTCATGTTAATCAACTATAGTGTTGATCATCCATCAGTCGGGGAAGATGTAGATGTAAGAGTGACTGAGATTTTGTTGGATTGTAGAAGCATTTGCACTTGTTGTTCAAGGGCCTTCAAAATGTTTTTGAGTATCCGCAAGTCTTTTTTGAGTTTCGACTAGGCTCTGTTTTGGTGCATCAAGCTCTTTCTTTTGTTCTTCATTCTCCGTAACGAGGTCGATAAACTTGTTCTCCAACTCCATTGCATGCTGCATTCTTGATTTCTTTACCCTCTTTACTTCAGTTCCTGGTCTTTCATAGTATGAGTTAGCAGCTGCTCCCTAACCAAATAATTTTCCCTTCTTATTCCACCCACATGCAGCCTCAAGGAACAACTCGTCTTCTGTTTTTTTATTCTCACTTTCATATTCAAGGTTGGCAGCTTTTTTACTTGAAAATTCATTCTGGAAAAATAAAGAAAAAAAATAATTTGGGCAGCACTTCCCCTAATAATGTTGAACTTCACATATACAACTGACATAGTGAATAAGAGGTTAAAGTAACCTCATTAAGTAATGACCAAAAATTTGGGCAGCACTTCCCCTAATAATGAAGCTAATTTTCTATTACCTGTCTCAATGTTAACCTGTTTTAAATCATTCCAAGCAAAAAAATATTCATTAAGCTAATTTTCCATAATATGTTATGTACATTACATACAAAGTAGTCAAGTGCAAGACCAAGATCAAGACCAAGACGGATAAGATGTGATGGAGGCAACTACAAAGACCGGCATTAGTCATAAGTTGGCTAACAACACATATCCACGATCCATGTCAATCAACAACCTAACTCTCATATAATGACCAAACAGATCATTCGAACAAACAATATCCATAGTATGTTCAAAATTTAAAAGACATCTTCAAAATAGAACCCACAACCAATAACACAAATACGTCGAACACATAACAAAGTAAAGCCATCACTGAGCCCGGGACAATGATCCTTTATTCCATCAGATTGACAATCCTTATTTCAGTATATTATTGCAACATTTAATGTTATATCACCAGCAGGAGAATACCAAAAGTATCATTAACAGAGTACAATAACGCAGTTTTATAATTTTTTTTTTGGACATAATTTATCCTAATAATTAACCAGAGGTTACTCATGCTGACCACTTAATAAGGTCAGACAAGAAATCAAGCTCATATTATGATCTTCATTGCTCGATTAGATCCTCAAAAAATCCAGTTTTCATAATCAACCCCAGTGCATTTAATACATCAGAATTTAACCCACAAAAACAAAATTTTAGTGTACCTTGACAAGAACAAATGACTATAAATTGATCAAATGAACGGTAAAAGATATCCAGGAATACCAAGAGAACTGAAGCTTGAAAGAACTTTTCGACATGATGATCAGATTTACAAACTCAAGCTAAAATTTATTAGTTAAGAGTAGAGAACAATACTCACCCACACCATTTCTGCCTTGGTATTAACAAATTGACCTTCGCTATCAGCATGACATTCGTAATAAAGCTCAGCAGCAGTTGGCTTACGTTTCAGTTTCTTTTCCTATTCATATATTAACACTAACATTAGCATTAGCATTGCATATATAACTAAGGAGATATAAAATCAGTTATATACACCAACAAATTACAAGGTATCATTTTAACTGACCACTATGCTCAAGTGAACGTATCAAGCACTATATACTAGTTTAGGATCTTATCACATCTTAACATAATGTTTTAACAATCCATATTATAATTTCAGGCATGGAAAAAAAATCATTACCAATTTCATCCTCACTTCTTCAGTAGATATAGATCCTTGTCGATGGTGTATTTTTGGGTTTTCGTTTCCCATTCGATTTTTTGAACATTGCTTTGAATTTTCTTGGAAATCTTCTTTTGACCTAATTTGAATCATTTGCTCCCTTATCGTAGGAGGGCACCATTCTGCAATATAGTCAGGTTTTGTGCAAATCTTTGACACCATATCAGTAATACGCCTACTGCATTTTGATTTCCAGCCCTTCTTAACTTGCATAGCTATTGATGGATCCCATGAGAACTCTTGCTATAGTTTAAAAAGCAAGGTCAACCAAAGGTAAATTGAATTAAAGTTATTAATTGGGATATAAAACAAATATTGCAGCTTCTAAATGACAAAGTAAGCAAATAGAAACCAGGACAAAAACCTTATAAAAGACAAACCTTGAAAGCATTCCACCATCTTCGTTTTACATCTAGTGGAGTCATACCCCAATTGCAATATGGTCCCTTAAAGTATGCCTTATATGATGTCCCAGATACTTTATCAACCACATCACGATGGGTAAACCTATTAAAGGCAGAATATTAAAATAATCTCATTGAAAAAAAATAAAAATAAAGTAAGTGTATAGAACTTTGTTCGTTATAAGTATATGCAACTGACCATAATCCATTAAGATGCAACACTGAATCAACCTTTTCCGGATTACCTGTCTCATCAGATACACTTATATTACAATTATTATGCATTGAATCAACTTGGTCTATCTGGGGCTCCTGGTGAGCTGTTGACTGAGTCATAGAATTAGGCACCTCAGCCTGGTTAAGTACGCCATTTGGTACATTGTTCACAGGTGCTTGTGTGGCAGCTCCAACTATAGGCATTTGATTTTGTGTGCTGGTAGTTGTGTGGAGCTGGGTATTTGGAATCAGAGTGGGTATACTATTACCGGGTATCTCATGACTCAAATCTTCAGCCATAGTGTGAGGATTTGCTACCCCTATATTACGATAGCCTGGAGGGCGAATGATTGCACCTCTTCCATTCAAGCCACCTCTACGTCTATAAGCCATCTGCACATTTAATAAATACAGAAACAAACATACATAATAACAACTCATTAAAATTATATGTAATATGCAAGAAAAAAAAAACATATATGATAATAAATCTAACTACATACCAATGGACTCAAGATTAAGTTTAAATTAATAAGCATATTAGGCAACAAACCAAATAAAATCAGAGAGTTTAAATTTCTAGATGATAATAAATCTAACTACGTGTCTTCTTCTTCTTCTTCTTCTTCTTCTTCTTTCTTCTTCTTCTTCTTCTTCTTCTTCTTCTTCTTCTTCTTCTTCTTCTTCTTCTTCTTCTTCTTCTTCTTCTTCTTCTTCTTCTTCTTCTTCTTCTTCTTCTTCTTCTTCTTCTTCTTCTTCTTCTTCTTCTTCTTCTTCTTCTTCTTCTTCTTCTTTCTTCTTCTTCTTCTTCTTCTTCTTCTTCTTCTTCTTCTTCTTTCTTCTTCTTCTTCTTCTTCTTCTTCTTCTTCTTCTTCTTCTTCTTCTTCTTCTTTCTTCTTCTTCTTCTTCTTCTTCTTCTTCTTCTTTCTTCTTCTTCTTCTTCTTCTTCTTCTTCTTCTTCTTCTTCTTCTTCTTCTTCTTCTTCTTCTTCTTCTTCTTCTTCTTCTTCTTCTTCTTCTTCTTCTACGCTTAGTGTGGAATAGATTAAAGCAAATAAGAAATTAATCGACCAGATATACAATTATTCCAATCGAATTCCTAGTTACTGAAATTGAATTCTATAATCTAGACAGTAAATCATGAAAAAAACACAACAAAAATTGCAATAAATCTTGACAAAAATAAAAACATAATCGTGAAGTATTAAAATCAAAAATAGCGAAAACCCTAATTTTAAACCCAAATTTTTAAGATCCGTCTTTTCTCAAGACTAAGGTCTAATCTATCAAAATTACGAATACATTTAAAAAAAAAAAAAAAAAAAAAAAAAAAATCTAAAAGGGGTTGATTTGCTGGTGGATATTTTGCCACAAAGAGGCTACATAATCTGCAACTCAATTAACTTTTCTACATATGTGTCTGTCTTTAGGTGTGGAAGGAGTGAAACAGTTGAAGATCTCGACTTCAACTATTAGTAGCTGAATTTCCCAAGGATGTGTTGTTTGACCCTTCTACCTAGAAGCATCTTCATTATCCAAAAATAGAGGTGTCAATTCGGGTGTCTCGTCAGGTTCGGTGAGGCCGGGTCGGTTCAATTTTCAAATTTGAGTTATGCTAAATTATTCTGTCCATACATCAAATTTGAATCTGACATTTTTCGGATTGGTTTCGGGTCAGGTCAGTTTTTGACACCTCTATCCATAATTCGTAAATTACATGTTTGGTTAACGAAACACATAAGATAAAGTTTGGTTAAAAAAACTACGAGTATATTGTTGTTTTTATTGGGGCTGCCCCAGTTTTTCTTATTGATTAACAAAATTGTTTCTCAAAATGGCATAATGGTAAATAAAACCAATTGTTTTAGCATTTTAATATTTTTTTGCTGTACTTTTCCTGTCTTCTTCTTGCTCCATCATCTTAATCCTTCGTCTTCGCAAATCACCATTGTAGCTACTTCCCTCCTCCATTGAAACTACACAGGAACCACTATCTCCATTCTCCACCATCATATTTCCGGCGGCTTCACCGTCGAATTAAACGAAAACCCCAAGAAATATAGAGAAATTAGAGTATGGTTAACTCCAAAAGGAGAAGGTTATCGTCCTCCTCCATTGAAACTATTCGCGAGCTTCGATTACTCGAGTCTCAATTAAAGCTACTTCCTCCATTGATGTTGTTGAATAGTTGATATCTCCATTAAATGTCTACTTCAAAATTACGATATTAACCTTAACTTATTGATTGAACTTACGAATATACCCTTTTGATATTGCATAAAGGACTAAGAGCACATCCTCCCCCACAAAAGCCACAACTCTAGTACTAGAATTCCTAAATTGTCACTTTCTACTTCAATTCATATAAATACTCACTCCCTTCTCACCTCATCCAATACCCCCCCAATTCAATTCGTTTGAAAAAAAACCACATTTTTTTCACTCCAATTCAATGGAACCACCAACATCAACACCACCTTCATCACAACCCACTCCTTCACACCCAACGGACCCTTCTCCCTCTCCTTCTCAACCATCAACGCCGTTGCAACAACCGCCGCCTTCTCAACCTCCGCCGTCACAACCACCGTCTACTCCCTCTCTTCCACCCCCACAACCGCCGCAACAGGCACAATCACAACCGCAGCAACAACCACCATCACAACCGCCGCAACAACAACCACCACAGCCGCCGCAACAACAACCACAACAACAACAACAACAATCCATTCCAAACCCTAATCTGAACCCCACAAATTCACACCCTTCTTACCCCCAACAACACCACCAGCAACAGCAACAACAGCAACAGCAACACCAACAACAACCAATTGCGTTTAGTAGACCAGCATGGTCACAACCCACTTCCCAATATTCACATTTCTCTTCCCAATTTCAGTCCTCAACTTCTTCTTCTGCTGCCCCTCCGCCGCCGCAGAGGGGTGGCATTGCTATTGGGGTTCCTGCTCATGCTTCATCTGGTCCGACTCAACCCGCCGCCTCGTTTTCTTCCGCTTTTGGTGTTCAGTATGGTGCTGCACTTCCTCGCAATCCTGTCAGTCTTCCCGATCCTTCTGTTGTCTCCTCTTCCTCCCCCTCTCCGGTAATTTTTTCATGTTTGTGTTTTTCATTGATTTATGTTTTGTGATTTCATGAATTGGGTTGATTTGTTTTTGATTGATTGATGTCGAATACTGGAATTCGGGTTTCTGTTGTTGATGGGTTGATGCTGGATTTGTGTGGGAGTCTAAGTGGAAGGTTGCTTTAGGTTTTTGGTTGAAATTTGATATTTTACTGAGGAATGCCTAGATATATGATGTTTACAGATTGCTGTAGTTTGAGCTAGAATTGGTTTGTATGTTAGAAATCGAAATTATTGAAGTAATATTTGATCATGCTTAATTGTGTTCATTTCATGTTTTGTGATCACCATATGCTCAGTTGTTTGTGGCAATGTTTTGCAGGCAAGGCCTATAATGCATGGAATGCCGAGCATGGGGATAATAGGCTCTCAGATACGGCCTGGTGGGGTTCCTCCTTCGGCTCTTCACCAGCAAAGACCAATGCAGGCAGCTTCTGGAATTAGGCCACTGACTACTTCCAATAATATGCCTTCTGTGACCCAGGTTATGTTTAGCTTCTTTGAATCTTCTTCATTGGTTTTATAATATTGGATCAGTACCAAGTTCAGGTTTAGTGTTTCAGTTAGTGAATTGTAGTGAGTTTTTCATTTGTTTGGTACCTTTTGTGTAAATATAAGATTGAGAACGGATAGCTTTAGAGCTGCAGTAGAGGAAGAGGAACAACTCTTATTAGTTATTAGTAAATACGTATTATATTCACATCTTTGCTTTCTCTCGTTATAAAGAAGAATTGCAATAACAACAGCAATGACCTTGAATTAAGCGGTAGAATCTAGGAGATCATATTTTCCATCAAACCTAGTATGCTATGGGAATATCTTGTGAATCTAGATATAATCTACATTTATTTCTAGATAGTAATTATATTTAATGTCTGGAATAGTATAAACAAGTGGACGACCAGCATAAAGGAAGTATTTTTTTTTAAAACCCAACAATTGGGATTATATTGATAAATCTGACTGAGCTACAACATCAATACTTCTATGAATATTGTCTACCCATAATCGTTTGCCAATCTCCATGGGTTGGAAATGCGCCAAACTATTAGCAACCTTATTACCACTACACTTAACAAATGAAAAGATAACAATTTAAAGCTAGATAACAAGACATAAATATCTTCTAAAATAAGAAAAACAGATTGCTGCTACCCCTCTTCTTGTCACTCAAAGCTTGAATTATCAGAAAACAATCACTTTCCACAAAACCATTCTTCACATTCAGTTCTAGAGCTATGCAATTACTCAGCTCCCTAGTCTCGACAAACTGAATTGATGCCCCTGCCAATTACTCTGTCCTCATTCCTAAGCACAATTCCTAATCTTGTACCAACCTCACCTAGAATACCTGTGTCCACATTCATCTTTACTTGACCTGCACTTGGAGGCGTCCAAGAAGATGAGAATGAGTGTGCCACCCACCCTTTGAAGTAGTCGCTGCATTAGCTGTTTTGCACAACCAGAATGTAGCTCACTATTAATCTTCCTTGCATACTCAAAAGTCTTCAACGGCTCCATTATCTCCCCCTCAATCACATATAAATTCATAGTTCCACAAATTGCCCTACAAGAAGTTATTAATTCCCCCAACATATCATTTCCAAATGCTCAAAACAGGGAGCCCACTATTCAGAAAAGAAGAGGGTTGCAAATAAATTAAACGCTCATAAGGACTGATTTGCTGTAAGTGTGGTGCTTTTCTTTGTGAAGCCAGTAGTTTTTAATTAAGGCTGTGTGTTGGTTGATGCACCTAGTTTTACTGTGGACGATTCTAATTGAAGTACGCGTGTTTGCATTGTTTGAAAATTAATAATTTAGAATTGATAAGTGAAATAATTTATATGCTTTCGGTGCTTGTGTCTTGTTGGATGCCAAGAGAGGGGTTTATCTCTTATATGTAATTTAATCAGTTGAAGAAACGTTATCTTGTGTAATGATGGCATATACTACCTCCGTTTTTTTTTAGTTGACACGTTTTGACTTTAGCACTATTCACACACTTTCCTTTGACCGTGTTTTGTGCTTTATACGTAATGAAAAATATAGTCATGTGGGATCTTGTTAGATTCGTCACGATATATATTTTCAAAATATCAACTTTTCATAATTTTTGCTTATCGGTAATTAAAGATATAAATGTTTGAAGTTGTGCATTGGCAAACGTGACTAAAGAAACGTGTCGATTAAAAAGAAACGGAGGAAGTATATGTTTCAATACCTGGTGCTTGTGTCTAGTGGGATGCCAAGAGGGGGGTTGTCTCTTATATGTAATTTTAATTAGTTGAAGAAACGTTAACTTGAGTAATGATAGCATACATCATGTCCCTTGGGAATAGTCCTTGGTGTCGGGGGAGATTCAAATTTGGCCAGATTCAATATAGTAAGATACATGGTGGAAAGCTCACTATAGTTATTTGTGCTTTATGCTTTTGTTACATCGTAACCTCTTTCATCTTCCTTTAGAGGATGCACAATCGATAACTAAAACAAATAGTCCATGGATCCCTACCTTGCTCTTGCTTTTGTTACATCGTAACCTCTTTCATCTTCCTTTAGAGGATGCACAATCGATAACTAAAACAAATAGTCCATGGATCCCTACCTTGCTCTTTCTCACCCCTTCACGTCGTTCATGTAATAACATTTTTTTTTCTTTCTTCAAAAGTCACCCCACTCAAGAACTACTAAAAGGTAGTTCATATACGTTATGCTATTAGTGCTACACACCACCATATTCTCTCTCTTATGCTTGGTGAAATTGGTGATTAATCATCGAAGTACATAATAAAATTGATAATAATTAGATTTTAATCGTGATAACAGCACTATTAGTAAAAAAAAAAGTAAATAAGCAATTACCTTGATAAATTAGCAAAGAAGAAATTAAGAATATTATAAGTAATTTATGGAGAGGAAAGAAGTCCAAATGGGAAAAGTGAAAATGAATCACAATGGGTGTCTATTTATAAAATTTCTTCTATATGACGTTGGAAAAATTCTGTTGAAGAGAATTCATACTAGGCCCTATGTTTGTTCAACTTGTTTTCACTTATTTTAGGGAAATTGAGTTCACATAAGAGTTAATAAATTTCGGAAAAATAAGTTTTGACGAATTAAGTTTCATGTTCAATTTACAACCAAAATATGTTCAAATATATTGTGATATGTTTGTTATATTCAAATTAGTTGAGATAAGCTTAAGTCAAAATTGGGGGAATTGAACCTGAAATGAGACTGATTGGGCACGCTTCAGCTCACTACTTAGGGGTACAAATGGATGTTGCTCACCAGAATGATAAGTTTTAGTGCGTGGTCTTCTAAGGGCACTCATTGTTTTGTTGAGCTATCAGCCATTTTTTTCAAAAAAAAAAACTTAGTTGGTTCATGTAGGGCCACTTCCATATGAACTTGAGTTGTGTCATGATTTTAATTTTTAATCATGTCATAGTTCATGAACTTGTAAAGACTTGTCGACATGAATGTGGTCCAATAATTATTTTTTATTTGTATAATTTTCATTTCATGAACTTAAAATAGTACACGAGTAATGATCTTGGAGCATTGTCTTACAATTTGTGAATTGTGAAATGTGGAGTAAAATTTATCCATAAAAATTGGTTAATAGACCATATTCATGACATAATATTGTCTGAAGGCTATACTGAAGTATATAGAATCGAACTTATATAATGAAAAGTTTATGAATTAACCATGGAATGAACCAAATCATGTCTTGATTCATGTATGAGTGGGTCTTGTACCATCTCATGGAATTAAGTTTTTTGGTGTGACTTGTGAAGTCTGTGCTGTTTTGGAGTGCATTAGCCAAAATAATTTCAAAATATTTTTAAGTTTGTCCACAAGGCTAATGTGGCATGCATACCAATCTGGGCTTCATACATGTATGTTGCTTAGATTTTTCCAATTATATCCACTACAAAAAAATTTCTAACGACATTTTTTCTAAAAGATAGGGGGAAAAAAAATCCACCGTTGTATTTGGAATCTATAAATAGGCACCCATATTGATTGATTTTTATTAAGTGGTACTTGTCATTATTATTTTTATTAAGGGTGTATTTTTAATAATCACTACATAATGTGGTATTGTGTCTGGTGTAAGACAGAGAAAAATGTAGAGGGTTATAACGAATAACAATAGAGGGATGGCATACTTTTTTTCAGTAGGCTGATCTTTCAAGAAAAATACATGTCATGACAAGAATGATGTGGGGGAGCAAGAAAGAGACAAAGAGTGTCATGAACTATTTTTTTTGCATTTTCATATGAGCTGCTTCACATTGCCTTTCCATGAAGTGGGTTTTATTATTTATTGATTTGGAATAAGTTCTATAAGATTTTCTTTTTGCCCCTAAAGCTATATATTGTGAAATTTTTTCAGTAAAGGAGGAGCATAGTTGCATATTTTTGTTCAAGCCTTGTTGTATGTGGCTACAAAAAATCTTCCACTTGAAGGGTGAATGTTGACCTTATTGAAGGGTGATGCCAATTCTTCACATTAATTATATGTCTGTGTTGGCCATTCTACTGAGGTTGGATTGCATTTTACCTGGAGGGTGAAGGTTGAATGTTGACCTTATTGAAAAGCTATGCCAAGTCTTCATATCAATTTTACATCTTTGCATGCCATTTTGGCAAGTGCAGCTATTGCTGGAGAATATCCAAATAATTTTTTTTAGGATCAAGATTTTCTACTTTTCCATGAATCCCATCTAAATTTAGTTGAATTTTGTCGGCATGAAATTCATTTATATATTAAAGGAAGATATCAAGATAAAGGAAGATATCTAAAAGTACATGATATGAAGTGGTTTGTGGAAATGAGAACGCAAAGAATTGGGACATTATTTCTGAAATGCTAAAATGCTTGATGATATGGAGGTGCGTGTAGTGTTAAGCTTAATTTTTGAGGTTACATTTGAATCCACAGACCAAAATTCTGCGATTGATTAAATTCAAAATCAGCTTGTTGGAAGTTTGGTAACTTGACAGGGTATTAATACTAATTTCTCAGAGCTACCGATTTAGACCTTTCTAGAGGCCTCTCTTTCTCTTATTCATTCTTAATTTCTCTGAAATGCACTCTTTCAAACAATATATATTATTAATCATATATTATTAATGTTTAATTTTGTACACAACTGGTATTCAATTAGAAGACATTTTGTGTCTTGATGATTTCAAATTGAAGGATTGCTGATTACTCAACTAATAATAAATTACACGAATCAGCTTTGAGTACTCAGTTTGTCTGGTATCTGATGATGTATTTGTTTAAAGGACTAGGGTATTGAAGTGTTTGTACAGGTCCTGGATGAATGGATAAACTGAGAGTTTGTACTTTCATCAGGATATAGATCTGTTGCATAAATTTACTATCTGAGGGAATGCGATAATGTATTTCTGCATTGTTCATGTACTCTTGGCCTCTATCATCATGTAAAGTTACTTTCTCGCTCATTGTAGCTGTCTGCACAATCTCTTTATTTCATTATTTCTATTCTATATAAAGTCCGCTGATGTATGTGACTTGTTTTGATATCTACAATTCTACAGGATATTATTATATTTACTAATCATATATTAGCACAAAATTATACCTAAGTGGGGCTTTGATCACAAAAGTCCCTCAACTACATGTGTCACATAGAACCACTCTTAAGCTCTATTTGTTTTCCAGTCACCATCTTTTGATGGCTTTTGTTGATCAATATGACCGTTATAAATAGAGACAAGGGGGTGGGGTTGGGGGGGGGGGGGTGGGGGGTGGATGCTGAAAATTAAATGTGGATATGAATCTTCATACTAGATGTAAGGTTTGACTTTTTTTTAGGGAAAATTGAAGGTTTGGCTGATAAATGCTACTTAAGGGTTGACTTATAAATTTTGCACTTAAAGTTAGATTTTTAGTTGAAGGCCCCACCGAAGGGGAGTTTCCTCTGAGAACCAGCTTATTTATGTATCCCTTTCTCCTTTTGGCCCTTGTTGTAGCATGTCCCTTGTTCCCATTGTTACTTGTAAAATATTTATTGGTTGTATCTGTCACATGTACACTTGGCTGTTGGTTGTGGACTTGTGGTGATCAAAAGGTTTTTTCACATTTTCTGCAGAATTTTTTATTCACTCGTCTTTCACTGTATATAAGCTCTTTGTAATCTACTTTCTGTGCCTAGACTATGTAATGATGTGGTATACACCATCTGTTTTCTAAATTTGCAGAATTTCCAAGGACATGGCATGTTGAGGGCCTCTTCTGTAACTTCACCAAATACATCAACACCGAGTACATCACAAACCCAGCAGTCTCCACATCAGCCATGGTTGTCTGCTCAACAAGGGCGCCCCCCTTTGCCCTCTCAATCTTTTAGACCCCAGGTGAATCCCCAGTCACTACAGCAGAGATCTCATATCCCTCAGCAGCCACCTCAGCCTGTTCAAGCAAATTCCCAACCACAGCAATTATTGCCATCACAACAGCAACAGCAACAGCAACAGCAGCAGCAATTACATCCCTCGCAACAGCAACAGCAATTACATCCCTCGCAACAGCAACATCAATTCTTGCCTTCTCCACAGCAACAGCAACATTTTCCAGCATCAAATCAGTCTCAAGAGAATTATGGACAGCAGCTCCCAGCATCAAGAGTTTTGCAACCTTTACCTAATCAGCAACAAATTGTCAGGGTACAGGGATCAGCAAATCAGAAGCCTCCCTCCCCTGCCACGGGGCAAGTAGGCATTGTCCATTCTGGCCCTGTTGAGAATGTAAATGCTGCAGAAATTTCTGAACCTTGTAGCACAATCCTCAGCAAGAGAAGCATTCAAGAGCTTGTGAACCAGGTGAATGATCTTTACCATCTATTTTGCTCTTGCATAGTTGCATTGGTCAAGATTTCTGAATATTAAAGTTCACGCACTTGATCAACAGATTGATCCATCTGAGAAATTAGATCCTGATGTTGAAGATGTTCTGGTTGATATTGCTGAAGATTTTATTGACTCGGTGAGTTTGAACCTTCACCTCCTTTATTCTGATAACCTTTGAGTTTTAACCTTCACTTCCTTTATTGATCGATATTGCTGAAGATTTTATTGACTTGTCAATTTTTTTAACTAAGCTTTCAAAATTTTCTTGGTACATATGAGAATTAGACAGTGCAGAGAATGCTGTACAGACCCCTTTCCCCCTCTTATCTTAAAGGGTGTTAAATATTATGGGATGTAGCTAGTTTGAGTATTTCTTTAACCATTGAATTGCTTATGCTCATATTCTGCTGGTTGTAAAGCTCTTATCAATGCCATACTGTGTTTCAGTTTGTGCTACTGATTAATGCAATTCCTTAACTGATTTAGTAATATGTTGTACTCCTTTTGTTCATAATTTCTTTTTTCAAATTTCTTCTTGTTTGAAGCATGTTTTCACCTTTGACATCCTGGAAGCTGCATCCTCACTGGACCCTTCTTGTCAATCAATCATGAAACATCTTTAGTATATCTTACTCATATCTCTCATGCATCAAATTAATATGATAATGCTGTTGTGCCTCATTTTTGAGCAGGTTACAACATTTGGCTGCTCATTGGCCAAACATAGGAAGTCAAATACATTGGAAGCAAAGGACATATTGCTGCATCTAGGTCAGTGACATGTGGATAATACATATACTTAACATGTACTATCATATCATACTTTTAAAGCTATCAATATCTAGTTTGTCTATTTCCTAATTTGTGAATGTGTTTGTCATTGCAGAAAGAACTTGGAATATGACTCTTCCAGGGTTTACTGGAGATGAAATTAAGACCTATAAGAAACCAGTAAGCTACTATCAGATAATGTGCTAAAGAACAATGAGACATGAAATATACTTTATAGAAAATTTGACATGATTAATCTTGATCAATCCCACCTTTCTGTTAATCAAGAATAATTCCAGCTTTATGAAAATAATCGGAAGTGTTATTCTTATATACAATAGCTGACCCAACAAAGACAAGGATAATAACAGTAGAGATAAATTTAACCAGGATTTTATTATACTCGGGATTATTCCCTGAATAATGAAAAGGTGGGATTTTTTTTGAATGTGGTTGAAATTTACGGTTATTTATGTAAAATTTTTCTTTTATTAATTTATTTATCATATTGATGATCTATTTTGGTTTCCATAGGTTGTTAATGATGTCCACAAAGAGCGCCTAGCACTGGTACTTGATGATTTTCTTTGTGGATTCAACTTTATTGTGCTCTAATGTGTCCTTGCCTTGACTCTGTTTCTCATTTTCATCTTCCTGGGGCAGATAAAAAAATCTATCACTGGAGCTGACAATAAAACCTCTGCTGGACCAGCTACTGGAAATGTTAAAGGGCATTTGGCTAAAGCAACTCCCAACGTCGTGGGATCTTGAGTCTCATTTGACTCGTCTTTGATTCAGATGATATATTGGTGACATTCTACTCTTGAGGCTCAAATTATTTGGCCTCAAGTATTTTTGTAACTCAGGTTATGTGACCTAACTCTGAGCTCCTGAAGGCCTTTTTTGGGGGGTACAGATGCTGTGTAAGCTTTTGGTTCGGAACTGTTAGATTTCAACTATTAGTGAATAGCATATGTGCTTTGAGGGGGAAAATTGTAAAGGGAAGGAAGGCCGATTAGGGAAGGCAAGGAAGAGTTTTGTCACATACCAACCACTAATTTTATGAGTGGTATAGAGGGAGATGATTTTGGATGATCGGAATATGAGGTAATGATTATCTTAATTTACAGCATTTAAAACATTTGCATATATATACTCCTATTAAGGAAGCAAACGGTGGGAGAGATTGGAAAGATGTGAAGCTTTGTGTCTCCTATTCCTATTACTCGTACGTAATTAACATTGAGCATCCATTGTCATGCTGTTTGTATTTTAGTTAAACTCCTCTTTTGGTATGCAATTGGAAAGTTATACAAGTATTCTCTGCATTACTACTGATTGTATATGGGAGAATTGGTCAGGTATGTTGTATAAGAGTAAACTTAATAGGAATATATACTACGTCAAGAAATTTTAGAACTTCGGCAGCATCTGCTGTAGTGATCGAGTACTGTACTAGCGATGTTTTTAAATACTGTTGAAGATTTGAAGGCGATTCACCCAGGAAGTTGCCATAAATTATGAATAATACACTATGTAAACATAAACTCATTAAATGGAGTAAAAACATAAATTAAATAGAATGATAAACTAAGGGGCTGTTTGGTTCGCATGGGATAATCAGAATGGAATGAATAAAGGGAAAGAAAAGTAAAGGAATGAAAATACCTTAAATTTTCTATGCCCTTTGTTTTAAAAACAAAGAGAGACAATCCCTCTAGTCCCACCACCACACAACCACTTGAAATCTTCACTTTCCACCTTTTCCAGCCGTCGCACTTCCCCCACTATTTGCCTCCCTTCGCTGGGCCTCCCCTACCTTCTCCGCCCCTCGCACAGCTCTCCCCTCCCTCGAAAAACCTCCCTCAGCCCCGAAAAACCCTGGCGGCTAAGGTTTCGAGGGTGGGGGAAGGGCAACCGACGGGTTTTACGGTGAGTGAGAATGGTTTTTAGGGTTTTTTTGGGTTGAGGGAGGTGTTTCGGGGGAGGGGAGAGCTGTGCGGGGGGTGGGGAGGGCCGGCGAGGGGCGGGGAGTGCCGGCAAAGGGTGCGGGAAGCAGCGACGGTACGGTGGCTGTGTTTTCCGGCGGTTTGGGTAGGTAAGAGGGTGGTGGTATGGTGGTGGCTAAGATATGGGAATGGAAATACCCTTGGGGGGGCGGGGAATCAATTTGGAAAGATTTGGGGGAATGGAGAGGGTAGAGGGAATGGGAAAAAAAGGTCTAAAAAACAACATCAAAGGGAATGAGGGCAGTTGATTCCCATTCCCTTTGATGAATTCCCCAGCCAAACGACCCCTAAAAGTAGTTGATCATTAACCGCTTTACAATTTTTTCAATTTATCTAATTTATTTCATAGATTATTTAAGTAAGATACACTTAGAAACCATAACTTATGATTATGTCAGCTATCCAGAATATTTGAATTAGTCTTTTCTACACATAGTGAACTTTGTATACCCACAATACCTTTATATCGATAAAATTGCGTGATAAGTACATGCATTATATAATTAGAATCGGTTAATTTAGAAACCAAAATTTATCATAATATATATGTTATTACATACTTTCTCCTCTCTAGTAATACCGCAACAACTAGACTTTTACACTATTCATCACGCTTATTTAACCACATATTATGATTTATACGTAAAGTAAAATATAGTCATGTGGGGTCTTGTTTGATTCGTCTCGTAAAATACTTTCACAATATCAACTTTTTATAATTTTACTCTTATATAATTATACATATTTAACATATAAAATGTGATTTGGAATGCGTAATTTCATCCTTGTTGCAATATTTGTGGAACAACGGAAGTATACCATTCCAATTCTTTATTTTTGCGAACTGCACTATCAGTATAACTTGACAGCCCGGATGTTCATTCAAATAATCTTGCATTTGATACACATACATATCCCATAAAGTGCAACTCAAAACATTTTTCCTGAAATATTTTAAAAAATTATGTAACAATAAGATTTTTTTAAATATATTTATACAATAGCAATGTTACAAGAAGGTTAAAAAAATAATATAGTAATTACTGTAAGTCCTCTAACTGAAAAGTGAGCCGCTTGGCTGGTTTTCCATCTCTTGTTGAATTGGCAATTCCTAATATATTAGAAAGATATCCGATAACATATGTTTCAAAACAGGAAAAAAATAATCATAATAAATATTGATGCTTTGCATTCATTAAAAAAAATAGTGCTAATATCGTTAACTGAACCATGATTTGTTGCCATGATAAAAAGACGTTTGTTGCTCCAAACGCATTTATTCAAACTTAACAAAAAAAAGTTTGGGTTATTTAAGTTTAGTTGTTTGAAAATTTATTAGTAGAATATACTTATGAAAATTACATCAGAAAATTGTGATATTGTGATACATGCATCTAATAGTAAGTTAATTTGATACATTGCTAAAGAATAGTGCTATAGAAGATAGCCTATTATTGTGTTATTATGATATTTGCATCAAATAAATAATCATTTGATTCACTAACAATGAATAGTGCTATACAAGATTTCCAATTATTGTGTTACTGTGATATGTGCATCTAATAGTAAGTTAATTTGATTCACTGTTAAAGAATAGTGCTATACACGATTTTCTATTATTGTGATATTGAAATAAAGAATCAAATATAGAATCAATTTATTATAATAAAGAATCAATTATATTCATTGTTATAGAATATTTCCTATTGTGATATTTACATATATAAAATATTTAAATCAAAATTTATTCAAATTATAAACTTGATATATGAAATAATTTATATAAGGAGTGAGGTAGTAGTTAGTTTTTTTTTTTTTTTTTTTTTTTTTTTTTTTTTTTAAGAAAAAAAAAGAGGGATCTTGAAAGGAAAATTGATTGCACTAGGAAGTCACACGTGTTATTCATGGTATCTGTTTTAGTAGTATGTTATGATTTATTGATATTATTATATTTTAGGAAACATATCCATTTTCCTTTGATGTAAAATTTTCTAGATATGAAAGACTCTTCCAGTTTTATTTAGACTTCTACCTTATGTATGGATAGGTAAATGTTTAGATTTTTGTGATTAGAGCTTGATGAATATATACCAGAAGCTTACTACGCAAAATCCCATTATTTTGTAATAGTAGAACGAGTTAAGAATGAGGGCTATTCAGCTATCTATAACAAAATAGGGAGAAAAGGAATAATTAAATACTAAACTAAGCATTAGTTATAAGAAATAAAGATTCAATGATGACTTTGAAAAAGAAGTTAAAAGGTAGCTTACGTACTTGCATTCTATGCCGTGAGCCCAAGTCTTGAATTTTGTTTGAATTTTGATATTGTCCAATTGAATATTTGAATGGATGGACATTTTTTGGAAAATCAAATTCAAAGGTATATATATACATTAAATTAATACTCCATTTAACGGTTTGGTAGAAGATGTTTTTATGACTAAAAGCTCAAAACAGCAAGTAATCCTCAAAAAGCAAGATGCAGTGGATTAAGCAACTTGTATGAAACTTTAGTCCTCATTCTTATTTAATAAAGGGGAGACCCTTTTATGTTACTTGTAGTGTTTCCAACTCTACCTTGTCAACTTGGATATATTCACGTTTTCTATGGCAACAATTTTAATCTATGATCAATCTAACCTATTTGTTAATAAGGAAATTTTGTGAAGAACTAACAACTATCCGTTTTTATTTTATTTGTGAACAACTATCCTTAAAATAGTAAACATCTGTCTAGCACTACTCATTATCGGATTCCGTCCAATTGAGCCGTTTGTGAGGCCCATTCCTACGTTTTCTCACCTAATTAACTCCCTCCTCAACTACCTCTCTCCTCTTGTAGTATTAATATTATTATTACAAATTTGGATTGAATTGGACAGAATTTGTAGAATTGGGCCCCACAAACGGCTCAATTGGACGGAATTCGTTAATATGACTAGCCAACGTTTGCAATCTTAGGGTTAGTTTTTCACAAATAAAAAAAACATACGGATAATTGTCTACAAAATAGCCTATCTTTAAAATTTACATATCTATATGTCTAATTTATACTTCGTATATCTCAAGCTCAACAAAGAAAAGTCATCTTAAAGCTAAAATTATCATATTTCCTTTAATTGTTTATTATTCTCCATAGGCAGATTGAGAGACTAGATAACGTTGAATGAAAAGTTTTTATAATTTGTTAATTAATGTTGTATCAATAAGATGAAAATATTAATTAGTTGGGAATTTGTGACAGATTGTAAGAAGTTTGTGTGACAGTCACTTACAAATGAATGTATTCACTCATATTAAAGGTGGTTGTGCCTCATGAGGAGTTAATATTTCTGAGCCTTAACCATTAGTTTAAGCTTTCAATTGTGTTGATCTGTTGACACTTTTAATTAAAATGCATTAAAAAATATTGTTACGGAAGTACTATTAATTTAGCAAAGTTATGCATTGGCACATGTGTTAATCAAAATTTTGTAATTTTAAGGAAAAATAGTGGAAATGGTCTTTTTTTTCTTTTTTTTTTTGTTTTTTATTTTTTGTAAACATAAAGTGAACAGCATATAGTCTTAATCAATAGTCAGTACTATCCCACATCATCTTTATAATAATTAAATCTTTGTAAACGATAATGAGAGAAATCCTAACCAAATATTACCTAAAGGCGTCTGCAATTTCTACCCTATTCCTGGAGTACCGTGAGCATGATATTTTATGGTCAAATGACGTTGTTTATTTGCTTGGACATTAGGTACATAGTCAGCCTCCCTCTATTATCCTTTCCTCTTCCCTGTTTCCCCCTTTTTCTTCCTGCTATACTTAGTTTTCTCTATTTTCTTTCAATTTCTGTGAATTCAAGCAATTTTTTCTTCTAATTTTAATTTCTGTAACTTAATTAAAAACAACACTAGTTTAATTAAAACAGAATAACATAAGATATGGTTTATTTGAATATCACATGTTTAAAACAAAATAACAATAGTCTTTAAATAGAATAACATCAATTTGAGTATGAAGTAACACAAAGTTTAACCTAAAATAACACATCACTTGATAGCTGAATAACTTACACTTCTATTGAAAATAACATAAGACGATATTAAACCAAATAACAATAACTTAACTCAAAGGTTAAGTAGAATAACAAAAGGATACATTAAATTAACAAAACAACACAAAGTTAGGATTTCATTAAAATATCACGTGATAAAAATAAAGTAACATTAGGTTAAAACAAAATATCATCATTTATGAAACAAAATAACCAATGGTGTTTTAGAAAAATATGAAATAATTCTGCCAAAACAAATCTACTTCCAAAGACTAAAACAACACATGATCAACCCAAAATAACATTAGATTTTAACTAGAATAATATTAGATATTAAGCAAAATAACATGATTTAAAGAAAAATTAGAACAAAACACATTTTAGAAATTTAGATCTGACTTCACAATAAAATAACATAATATTCAATGCTAAATACCACAAGCCTGGAAACAAAATTGATCAAAATAACAAGTTTGGAACTAAAATTCAGCTAAATTCATCCATTCTTGGAATATACTCTATAGTAAAACAAAATAAATTTGTCAATTCCACTTATATCTAGTTCGAAAAAAATATTTTCGCAAAGTAACATAGGTTGATTTAGAAAAGCTTATCTATAATATTTGTTTTTAAATATGCAATTCTCTCATCTAGTTCTTCATTATCATTTAATTGGTTTACCATATTTGCATCTTTTAATTGCAAAATTCATATTATAAATGTACAATTGCAAAATAATTATAAAATTAAACAAATACTTACTTCTCTTGATGCACATTTCGGTAACTTTTGTTAGTTTTGGACTTGATCTTGAAGTCAAATTTGGTCTTTAATGACACCATTGAAGAATTTTGCAGAACTAGTTCAAATGGAAACAGAGAAAGTGAAAGTAGTGGAGTAAAAATGAAATGATTTGAATATTTTTCATCCACCTTTCTTTTATATACGAAGTTAGTTTCATGTTACTCCCTCTGTCCCATAATACATGACACAGTCAAACATTGCACACATGCCAATGCATTAGTTTGACTTTATTTTTATATAATTAAATATTAATGAAAATTATTTTAAAAATTATATTATGAAACATTATATTAAAACCTAACAAAATATTTTATGATAAAATATATTTTTATTATGTATGTAAAATTATGGTCAAACACTCAAACCTGATGCATGAATAGTGATAAAAAGTCCAGCGTCTCATATATTATAGGACGGAGGGAGTATTTAATTGTTTTTCCTAAGTTGTTATTCTGTCAAATTTAGTCTTGCATGCTTTAATTTCGTTAGTTGGGTTTTAATCTCATTTATTAGATTGGGCCTAGGCCACGGAGTATAATATTAGGTACTCCAGGAATACCTAATACTAATTGAAAGGCGTTGTTGCTATCTACACTCAATCTACAATTGATGTTCTCAAGGTCGATTCTTCCAATTAATGTCAATGTCAAATAAATTAACTATAAGTACTTGGAGAAGAGCCATGTGATTTGCAAATTTGTAGATCTTCAAAGACATCAATAATATAAACACATGATAATTGAGGAATCATTAGAGAAGGTGGGGGTTTAGGTAATTACCAAGACTAGAATAATACAAAGGCAAACGTAACCCTTAATTATTTTTTTTGACATATGATTACCTGTCAATGACTCATTTGCCACAGTTGTATAAATCCCATTGGTTGACCCTCCAAACAACATGTATTTTTTTTTTGTTTTCATATAAATATACAAAATCCCTCAAAAAGCAAGCACACTTTTTTTGTTTTCATATAAATGTACAAAATCCCTCAAAAAACAAGAACACAAAGATAGAAGAACCATAATTTTCAAGAAATTTACAAAAACCTCAATAAAAACTCAAGATAAAAGAACAAAAATTTCTGTATAATTTTTTTTTTTTTTTTTTGTTATCATATAAAAATACAAAATCCTCAATCATACAGAAAAGTAAAAGATTGTGGTGTCACTTTGTTTTGATTTGATTTTTTTAGGGGATAAAGAAGATCCAATTTTTCTACTTTGGAATTTCCTTTTTTTTATCCTCTTTTCAATCTCCCAACTTTTTACTGTCACTTTTTCGTTCTTAAATTAAAATTCCTTAAAAAATTAATTTGAACTTTTGATTTGATGGGGACGATTGAGGAGTCTGTTGATTCTCTATTTGGAGGAAGCATTTCGAATGGGATAAATTTTTATGATGATTCTTCTTCTCCTAAGTGTGAAAAGCTCATCATTGATACTGATCCTGGAATTGGTGATTTTCTCTCTCCTAATTTTTGTTTAATTTTGACTTTGAAATTCAAGAAATTTATATAGAATTATGGGTTATGTTTAGAATCCCAATGATGGGTATTTTTTATTACTATTATTCATTGGTTTTTGATTTTTTATGTAAGTGATACTTTTGGATTGTGGATAAGTAGTGTATATATTATTGCCTTCTGTTAATTAATTGTTGAGATGATGAACTCAAAGCTTATTGGTAATTTGTCTAATCAGGTAGTTTTGAACCTTTAAAATTACAATTTATCTTTAACGTGAGTTAGAATTGATCAAGTGAACTACAAATTACACATGTCGTGATAGTTGGTCTTCTATGCAACGGGTGTATTCGTGTCGTCTCAAATTACATAATTGTTCTCTCTTTGTGAAAGTTGGTTTTTTATACCATATGTGATTTAAGGTGACTAAGCCTGTTGCGTGCAATACTCTCGTTTGGTATACAAGATTTCGTTGAATATTGGATAGTGTTGTAATTTGACAGTAAAGTAACAGAGGATGGTTGTTTACTTGTTATCATAAATTTTACGTGCCCATTATTATGCAAAGCTGAAACTTGCTCAAGAGTGACTTGTTTCATGAATCTATAGTAGTTTATCAGCTAATGTCTGCAGATTATTATGTTCATATTACTTGTATACTAGTTTTGTGGCGGTTGTATATATTTATTTAATCGACTTCTAATTCATAAGAATTATGTATTTGAATACTCGCCATTGGGAAGATGTGACTACAATAGTGTTTTAAGCAGGGTTCTATGTCACAGGACTATTAATTATATTATTGTGGTTCTGACCTTGCTAATTAATTGTAAATGTTAATGTCTAGGTGGTTATCCGTGCTACTTGTATTTCTTAGACATGCTTCGTGTGTGAGGTTTATTTGTCACCTGAATTCCCAAGTTACTTAATAAGCTTTATGAATTATCAACAATGGTCTCACAATTCTCATGGAAAAACAAGCATTAGATTCTGGAAATCACAGATTTTTCTTGCTTCTTGTGGTGGATCAGTGCACTAAATTTTTTCTTATATGGCTATGTGTAGTGTTTGATGCTGTTTTTATAATGTTAGTGTATGACCAAAATCATTTGAACTGAAACTTTTTCTTGCATGTTTTGTTGCGGGTTTATATACCTTTTCTTTCTTAGAAACTCGAACTAGCTTAAATAGGTCTTTCTGCTTAATATGGTGCTAATTTGGGACTTGTTACCTCATAAAGGATGTCACTTGTGAATCTTTAGCCTTTCCTTCCTCTTCTGAACTATATGTTAGGATGTGTACTTGTGCATTTGTATTCATTCTCTCATATGCACTACATATTAACATGGAATTGTTTTGCTAATAGATGATAGCATGGCCATCTTGATGGCCTTTCAAACTCAAGAGGTGGATGTCATTGGGTTGACTACAATATTTGGAAATGTCATGACAGAGGATGCAACTCGGAATGCTTTACTCTTGGTATGTGGCTGCTTTCACCTAGTCCTATTTAAATTACTTTTTCCTAGCAAAGATATCTTCTACATTCAGTAGCACTTACTGTTTTTAATGTGAAAAAGGATAGTGTGAGATCGCAGGTCGTCCTGATGTTCCCGTTGCAGAGGGCAGTCCAGGGCCTCTGAAGGTATTTTTTCTGAACTAGTTGTTTGACTACTGAAGCTTCATTTATCATTGTTTAGAAGTTTCCCCCTTCCTCCTCTCTCCTGGTAGGATGAATTTTCTATAACCTGACCAGATTTTTGCAATGCTGTTTATCCCTGCTTATATCCTTGTAGCTTATGTTATGTAAATTGATAATCAGTTATTGTGTCAATTTTTTTTCTTTTAAGCAGAATGTATGCATATAATGCTATTTATTCATAAGCCTATGGCAAATCTTATTTCTACTCTTCATCCTGTACTCAGATGTCTTAAATACTTGTCTACTGATACTTCTACAGGAAGGAAACTTTTTCTTTAAATGGGAAGGGGGGCAGGGGTATCTGAGAGTCTGAGACAACTGAGACAGTTGTTCAGATAGACCACAAATACCTAAATTTCTTCTTGTTCTAAGACAGATTAGTTTAAAATGACCTCTGGCTCCAAATTATAAAAATTTCCAAGTTCAACTTCTTAAAAATCGTAATCATAATATAAAACAACTGCGTTTGAGCACAAACTTAATGGCATTTTAATAACTTGAGGTGACATTTGACTATTGCACTCATGCATGAACTACACTACTAAGTGACCAGTGTGATCTGACTAATGGTATTTTGGACGAGCAATCTAATTGAGGTTCTGGTCCTTAGCATATAGATTATCCGTTGAAGTGCTATCTTAATATAGTTCTGGTTTTACCCTGCCCTTGATATGATCTATACAAATGTGCTTGTTGTGATTGTGATTGTTTGGTCCTTTTGCTTTACTTATTTTTATCTAGTCTCACTTGAATGCTACCTGCTTCTGTGCCCTCTCTTTGTTCTGAATTGCAGTATAAATAACTCGTAAATTAATATAATGAATTGCTAAAATGACTCATGTTGCAGCATTCCTTCAGCACATCTTTACAGGAATTCATGGAGTTTTCTTTCCATGAAATAGTTCTTGGATTTGGTTGCGCCACACTGCCACATTTATTGATCTAGTATAGGGATTTAGTTAGGAATTTAAGATTCTATATGAGATCAATGCTCCCTTGCCTTCCTGTCAATAGATTATATCTCTGGGCTCTTGGGGTTATGGCGCTCATGTATGTCAATTGTATCTTTACCTATCTTAAATGGTTGTCTTTCGAATAGGGTGGCATGCCGCGTGTTGCTGATTTCGTTCATGGTGCTGATGGATTGGGCAATATAGATTTATTACCTCCCAAGGCAAAAAAGATTGAAAAAAGTGCTGCACGGTTTTTGGTGGATAAGGTTTCTGAACACCCGGGTGAAGTATATGTACTTGCTCTAGGGCCATTAACAAACTTAGCTCTGGTGAGTCTGCTTTTTCTCGGTTGTTTTAAGGTACACTAAGACACTAAGTACAGCCATTTTCATGACACTTCTATTGATTGCAGGCAATCAAAAGTGATTCCTCCTTTGCTAGCAAAGTGAAAAGAATTGTGATTCTTGGTGGCGCTTTTTTTGCTCTTGGAAATGTTAATCCTGCTGCTGAAGCAAATGTAATTCCTGATTCCTCTTTCCCTTTTACAGCTTGTTGAATATTATGTGATACTGCAAGATACTTTCATTTTCTCAATATCTAGTTGTTGCTCCAATTTTGTCATTTGCGAATCGTTACCAAACCTCTATGATCCAATGTAAACCTATGTTGGTTTTTGCCTGTGCTTGAATTCAGATTTATGGGGACCCTGAGGCAGCTGATGTAGTTTTTACTTCAGGGGCAAATATAACAGTTGTTGGCATTAACATCACAACTCAAGTCAAATTAACAGGTGAAGTTCCCACCTATTTGCATGTCACCTTATAATAATTATCTACCTCTAGGATCTATCTGTTATTGATATGTTTATTCTTATTGAACTCTGTTATGCTATCAGACATTGATCTTCATGGGCTAAGGGAATCAAAAGGAAGACATACTCGACTAGTCACTGACATGTGCAAATTTTACAGAGATTGGCATGTGAAGTCAGACGGTGTACATGGTATTTCCTTGCTCTTTTTTCATATTTATTTGACAGAAGTGTTTGGAAACATTTATACTGTCCTTCAATATGAGTTGTCAGACTTGTCACATTGTTTCAATATCTCATAATTAAGCATGCCTCAATTTTATATATACTTATTATCATAGTTGTTCACTTCTATTCGTCGCTTATTTGTAAGGAAGGGCGTAATATTAATCTCAATCATGACCCGTAATATTTCTAGGAAATGCAGCTATTTTTTGTGGACATTTTGAAAATAATACTGTTCAGATATCAATCTTTTGACACGGACCATATCACTAACATATGCCTGCAGGTATATTCCTTCATGATCCTGTAAGCTTTGTAGCTGTCGTGAGACCTGATCTTTTTACATACAAAAAAGGGGTTGTAAGGGTTGAGACACAGGGCATCTGCACGGGGCATACGCTAATGGATCAAGGGCTTAAAAAGTTAGTCCGAATGCTGTCTTATACCTCCAACCTCTCCCTGAATCTTTTTTTGGTTTTCTTAGCTGATGAATATGTGTGACTTCTGATTTTGTGATGCAGGTGGAATACAGAAAATCCATGGACAGGATACTCACCTATTTCAGTGGCATGGACAGTTAACGTCGAAGAGGTCTTAATGTATATAAAGAACCAATTGATGCAATCTTGATGAACATGGGATGTTTAGAACTGCTATTTTAAACTACAACCCAGAGTTTGTCTTGTTAATATTGTAACTCTCTTTGTTAACCCATATTCAGGTTTCTGAGGGAAGATTGATTTCTGCCCACAATTGCCTATTCAAACATGTTTATCTTCTGTAGTAATCAGTTTCTTGCCTCTTGAAATATTTTCTTCTTTCCCCCAATATTGTTATTAAAGGCTACATGGTTAAGGGACATTCAATATATTTATGATGTTAAAGGACTTTGAACTAGTATTAGCTTAGTCAACTTATTAATGTATCACTAATTGCACTGTAAATGTAAAATATAATTTTTACTCTTGTTTCAATGATGTAATTTCATAAATACCAACATTCAAAAAACTTTCCAAATTGTCAAGTCCCATTGACATACAAAGGGTTCCATGCCAGAGCTCCTGTCACCACTTCCTTGCTTAAGCCGAGTCAAGCATTTTCCAATGATGGCACATCAGATCTCATCCACAATGATCGTAGCTATGCCAAAGTGGAGGTTTATGTTTTCAATTTAATACTTGTATGTTTTTGTTAATTAGATTTTTTTTTTTTTTTTAAAAAAGGATTTTTATGACTTTTGAGTAATAATAAATAAATAATAGTTTTAAAAAAAAACAATTGTAGGATCAGATGGTGCTATTAAATATTTTAAAAGACGTTTAGTTGTTAATGAGAATCTACAAGTGCTTTAAAAAAAAAAAAAAATGTTACAAGTTGAAGGAGTTGATTTCAATTAAACTTTTGACCCAATAGCTAAGATGCTTTACATTTTAGCAATTGCGGTGGCTAAAAAATGGTAACATCAAATGGGTATCCACAATGCATTTTCTTCACACAGTGACCTTGATGAAGAGATTTACATGAAATTGCCTCCTAGACTTACTGTTGTTGATAACTTGTTATCCATTTTTGTGATTTTCTTTTCATTCTTGATTTAATCCATTGTTATCCATTTTTGTAATTTTCTCATCATTCTTGATTCAATCCAAAAATCGTTTACTAAGCCCTCGATTTTAATCTATATTTTTTACTCAATGACTTTTGATTCAATCAATCAATCAAAGCTTAATCCCATAAGTGGGGTTGAACTCAATGACTTTTGATTAATAAATTAATTTTCAATGTGCAAAAAAACAATAATACGAATACATGAGTTAAATTTAATCCCTATACTGAATCCACATCCTTGAAAATTGAACCTGCAATTACCTCCTCATTAGAACAGTGCTGACAACTGAAGTATCTCACTTGGAAAGAACACATGGCATCTGCTGAAAACATTCAAACCTCTCAAGCAAAATCATGTATCATTGCGGGCAATACAGAGGACCATTGAGTGCATTTAGCAAGCCCTTATATAGAACAAATTCGATAGAGTGGACGACACAATAAAATGGAAACAGGTCATTCCACACTGCTCAACAGGTGAGCAAATCTCAGTGCAAAACAAAATTGAGACCAGTACCATCTACGTATAATTCCATGGATTACAAATACAAATTTTGGGGGGATCACCAGTCATATAGTACAATGGGAGAGCTCGCAGAAATTTACATTGCGCTACAAAAAACCTGCTCCCAAGTGTTCATCTTTGAGTAAATACAAGGAATAACACTAATGATCTGGCCAATTTTCGCCTGAGAGGAAGAAAAGCTTACATAACAACTGATATCCACCTCCATGACAGCAAACTAGCAGTTAGCTTTCACATAATTCAATTTTTTCTTCTCTCAAAATCATTGTTAGTAAAGTTACTAACAGGAAACCACTGTTTCACTCAAAAAAATCTGAGAGCTACTCCAGCACGTGCATATTCAATGGTGAAAATTCATATGATCTTAGTGTTCAGATAGTTTTTTCAGAACTAAGCTCTTGTATGCACTTAATCTACTGCGACCTGCACTTCAACTTCACAGTTTCAAGCTCCTGCTTCAACGACACTAACCTCTCACGCAAGTCTGTGTTCTCCTGATCACAAAAATGGAAAATTATGACACTGTAAACTCTATATGAAAAGCAAGGGTAAACAAATTATAACACTCCATTGCACCAACATTTTAGAAAGAGAGCTAGAACTTCACAGGTAAAACTAATATCGAATCACACAAGTTACCTTTTGTAGCCTTTCAACTCTTTCATCAACACTAGGCATGTCCTTTGCTATCGTACTACGGGACTCCTTCAACTGCAGAAAAATATTATGCATAATCATTAACAACCTACACAGTTCATATTGAACATAAAAATTATGGTGTTTTTTTAAAATTAAAAAAAAAATAAATGTGTTGCAAGGATCCTACATGAGTATATACAAAACTGGCAAGGCTAATTTCCAAATAATGATACAACACAAACTCAAATATATATATTTATTAAAAAAAAAAAATAATAAAAAAAAAATAAAAGGAAATTTATCTTCTAGGTTGTCTACTCTTCTTCATAGAACAATTGGAATAAAAGGTATTAACAAATAAGGTTGATCCTAAATTGCCCCACCTATGAGTTTTCTGGTTGGGAAGAACCAAAGGTTGTCTTCTATTATTTCAAAGCTTCATTGCACCATTCCAATAGTCCTTCAGCAAAAACGGTTTGAACTTTGAAATAGCATATAGTGGTTCAAGTAGTCAGCCTTACTTTCACTCCTAATTTCCCACCACAAGCATATGGATCGGGAATCAAAGACAACAATCACAAACTACAAGACTTCCTCACATTCAAACTCCCGACACTAAAAGAGTGTGATCAGTTCTTTCCACCAACAAATGAAAACCATTAATTGCACTCTGTTAGGGTACAGAGCCACTGTTACTCCATAACACCTGTCCACTGGTGAAAAACAGAAATTAACTAGAACAGGATTATTCAATATATCACATAAGAAAGTTGATTCCAGCAGCAGAATTTGCAAGGATTTGTAATATGTTTGGGTACAACCCAAATGAGAATAATAATATTAAAGCTAAAAAGAAAACTTCGTCAAAAACTTCCTTTTTTAACAGCTACTTTACAAAGGGCTGCCTTTTCTGATGCAGAGAGCCCTCTAAAGGTCACACAAAAATTTCACAATTAGAGACAATCATGGCAAGATACAACAAAATTGTTGATTAAAATTATCATGGGATACATTAATTCTTCCATCTATCTTTCCAAACACCACACAGGATCACAGCTATATTATGGGCCTGCAAACTAGGCTAGATTCAAATAGTTTAAACAAATATGCATTTGAAGAGAACTTGCTTCAATGTGCACACCCTTTTGAACAGTTCTAATATTTGATCTAAACATATGTACTCAGGCATGATATGACCACAAATATTAAACCATTATATCGTACATAGCTAAGTAATATGGATATTATGGGAATTTGATGGGTTTGGGACTTTATTTAATATTTTATTATTATTAAAAAAAGTGTGAACCAAATTATAAGGGACTTACAATTTTATTTCAAGTCGTTAGGAAAGTATGTATAGTTTTTTAGGCTAGTTTATGTACTATAAGATATTTCACATGACAAAGAAGATTGTCTATTAATGCAATTAGGATTTTTGATTAATGTAGGACTGATAAGCCAATACAAAGAGCCTGAGGCTGTAACGTTTATTTTAAGGTTGAATACATTGAGTTTTTCAGATTTCATACAAAATTGTGTGAACATATGAGATGCATGCTCATGAGTAAGAGAGATTCTTATTCACCCTAAGTTGGTAGAGTAATAAATTTGATTCCCCAGTTTAGTTGATCAAAGATAAGAGAGACTACGTCATACTCTCTCTATTCCATATTAGTTTTTACGTTATCTTCTTTCATCACTCCCAAAGTAATTTTCACAAAACTACTTTGGAAAAGGTCCCACTATAATTTAATACATCTCTATTTTCATTGCTAACACAAACAGATGGTAAAAAATCGCTACTCTACACCATTGATCTAAGTTTAAAGTAAAGAACATATCCATCGATCTCCTCTTTCCAAGCTTAGAACTCAAAAAGTAAATATGCTATATGTTCCCAAACTTTAATAGTATGTGATCCAGTATCATTGGTTCATTACTATGATACTAACCTAAAGTTCCTAGAATGGATATCAGTTCAAAGTTCCTACAATGGATATAGGTTAGGAGACGTATGTTTGATTATGTATTGTTTTTATTCATATAGAATCTTCTCATTCAGTAACTCGTGACCATCAAAGTATTTTCTGTAGTGTGGCGGCAGCCGTTCATTGATGGCAAGTTTTTCATTAAAGGTTTTGTGGTTATGAGGCTTCTAGGGTGTTGTTGTTTTTGTATTGGTTAGTGAAATTAAAATTACCAAAAACAAATATTAATAATATAATCATACATAGAAATAAATACCAGAACCAAACACTGACAAATCACAGATTCCTGATATGTTGATGGGATTTAGTTGAACACCAATTTAATAGTGCATAACTATTCAATCCAACATAAAAAGTAACAACTTAGAAAAATCATAAGATAAGAAGAAATAGAAATCAATAATATTCAAAAGTTCAGCTTCATAGCTGGCGACTAAAATACAAAGCTTAAGAGAAACAGCATACCTCGTTAAGCTCCTTCATACATTCAGCGACTCTCTCCATTTCCTCATCAAACCTTGACCTCCACTCCGCTGACTCATCCACTGCTTCTCTATGCGCAAGATCAAATTGTCTCCTGCCCATTTGTACTAACAATTAAATTAGTGGAACTTCCCGTACAAAATTCAATGATTTGGTAGTGGAGCATATTACCAAATACCAATACACTTGAAACTTGACTACACCAATTTCCAGCAATATATTACCAAGTCAAAAGCAGATTACCAACATTAATTCTGTAAACCAGAAAAATTCAAGCTTTTTCTAGAGAAATAAATCAATAATTATCCACAATGGACCTCAAACATGCGGCAGGAGACAGAAAGAGCAAGTGAGAGCCTTTCATGGTCCTCTTCAGATCATGTAAATGTTGCACTCAAAACACTACAACGACCATTCAAAAATCATGATTTGGCTCCTACAATACTCTCTTACGAAATATACATATAAGTTTGCAACCTCATTATTTAACCAAAAAAAACAAAGCTGATGAGAAATTCAAGCCTATCCATGTTCAAATAAATTATCTAACCACAAATGCTCTTAAGGTTGGAAGTAATAAGTAAAGAGGAACAACATGAATATTGATCATTTGAGGCATGTAGTTTTACACTCCACTGTCTCATCATCGACTGTCGTTAGGTATTTGAAACATGAAACTCTTTTTTTTTTTTTTTTTTTTATTAATATCAAATGCCACTTTACTGCCTTGGTTAGCTTCCCCCGTCCAAATTACATTACTTGTTCAAATTACACTATCTCTGCAACTGTTAATCACGGACACTCCTAAAGTCCTAATTCAATGCAATAAAATGCTCCCCTCATCCAATTTTTTGTCACATTACTAGTTCCAATTACACTATCAATACGACTATTAATTCCGGACACTCCTGATTCACATCAATCACACGCATCCATTCAATTTAATAATAGTCGCATTACATATTCAAATTCCCGGTGCTTCAAATTCACATCAATCACATGCCACATTTCATTTTCACTAAATTATTTCTCATCCTAAATTTGACTATTACTTGATCATACAACCAATTAAAAAAGCTAAAATCCCATCAAATTACAGCTTGTAAGCATAAAATTGAACAAGGGTTCAAAAACTCAACAACATAATCTCATAATCCAATCAGAAATAGCAGTATATGAACCAGTAAATTGAAATTAATAATAAAATTGAAGAGGTTTGAAAGTGAATACCTTAGCAATTCAGTATCATCAGCAGAAATGCGGTAATCAATAATCCATAACCTGAAGTAAACAAGAAAACCCAAACCCATAACAATGGCTAATCCAAGAAGCAGGGGTCTTCTTGAAATGCCCATTTTCTCTCTCCTCCTTTTGCTGTGTCCAGTAGTAAGGTTCATGATCACTGAGTTTTATCGGAGTTTTTGAGGATGCAAATTACGGGCTCGATTACAGTTTGAATGGGGGTTATGTTTGTTTAGACTGATGTTCGACTATGGATTTGCTTTATTCATGGGCCATACTGAGAGAATTATCATTCGGGTATTAACATATTTGGGTCAGATTTGGATCGGCTCATCTCGGTTTTCGATCACGTTGAAATCAACCCAATTTGAACAAATTATATTAATATAAACTAGTTTGTGGCCCGGGCGATAGCCCCGGGTTGCTAGTTTATACTTGTTTAGTTTGCTAATCAAATTTGACTGTTTTTTCTTAATGTTTTGACAATCGTCGTGAAATTTCGTGAGTTGAAAAAAGATTTGTTTTAGGAGAATCATATTCAAAATTTGATATGATATGATTTGAAGATAATCAACAACAGAAAAATAAAATTATTTTTTTTCTTCAAATCATTAAATCGAAAAACAATACAGTGGCGAAGCCAAAATTATCATCACGGGGGGACGGATTAATATAGTCGTTATATAATTTGGCAAAAACCCTTAAACAATTTGATTTATATGAGATATATTAATAAGATCAAATACCTTTGCTCATATCCCTGTTATAACCAATAATATGTGTTACAACTATTGTTAACACATTAACCACTAGATCAACTCCTCTCCTTCATCACATAATTGCACACAAATTGTTTATAAACTTTTTTTTCCCCCCCTTGTCCCCACCTGGCTCCGCCAATGACAATACAAAGTTATTCAAACTTTAAAATTAAAGCTGTTAAATGTCTTATGATCATTAGATAATGAAAATAAATACTCTGTAATACAATTAAACACTTATTATCTTATCCAAGTTAATTATAATTTTGTTTGATAGAAAAGCACAATAAATGAATAGCTAAGATGGTAAGACTTGCAACTTACAGCTTGTTTGTTTAGAGGGATAGGATAAAAGAGGGGGGATTTAACAAGTCTTTTGTTTATTTAGAGGGATGGGGATTAGGAAGGGGGGGGGGGGGGTAGGAGGGGGATAAAAAAGGGAGTTATCCCTCCAAATTAATAACTAAAGGGGTGGTATAAGGGATGGAAATTAAATTAACGGGTAAAAGACATTTTTACATGTAATTAATGAAAGAGAAAGAAGAAGAGAGTGAAGAAAGGATAGTAAAGGTAATTTTGTATTTTTATTAGTTATTCCAATCTAATCCCAACCCAACCAAATAATGGAATACACTATTTTTATCCTTATCCCTTTTATTAATTTCACCTTCTTATCCCACTTAATCCCATCCCTCCTATCAAACGCCCCGTTAGTACTTGTTGGTCTTAAGTTCTAATCTTGCTATAAACATTTTTAGTTGTCGAAACATATATGTTGAGGGGGTGACGTGTCATCTTAGTGTTTAAAGGTGTGGCACGTGGCACATATTGTTGACATGTCATGTTTATTGTGCTTAAAAAAGGTGACACGTGGCACATATTCTATTTTAGGAATGCTTTTTAATATAGAAATATTGATATTAAATAGGCAAAAAAAATACCCTAGGGTACACCTTATACTTAGGTGTGTATAAAATTTTTTAAGTGTGTTTAGAGATGAACTTATTACGAAGGACTAGTTTTGAGAATTGGACGACCTCTCATGTTATTTCGTATAATGTTTGTATTGCGTGAAAGACACATAGAATCTATAACTATTACTCCGTACTAAAACCTCAAATAAGGTATTATATTCGCCTAGGGCTGAGCAAAACTATCTGAAAATCCGATTCACATCCGATCCGGAAATTATGGATATCCGATCCGAAATCAAATTCGGATCGGATATCCGATTCGAAAAAATCGGATATCGAATATCCAAATTTAGGATTTCGGATATCTGATATCCAAAAAAATATCCGAAAAAATCACTTTTTCATTTTTATTTCTCACATTACATACGGAGTAAAAGAGGCAAAACCCAAACCCTAATTTCACTCCCTCAAAACCCATACCCCCACCGCCTCTCTCTCTCTCTCTCTCTCTATCTTTTTTCTCTCCTCTCTGGTCGCAAATCTCATGCTCTAGCAGCGACGTCTTTGTCCTCTTCACGACTGCTTCATTCTCGCACTCTCTCATGGCTGCTCCACCAGCGGCGCAACTTCACTCTCTTGCTCTCATTGTTGCTTCACCAGCGGCGCAACTTCACTCTCTCGCTTTTACGGTTGCTCGTGGCTTCACTCTCTCGCTCTCACAGTTGCTCCACCAGTGGCGATAGCTCACCGGTCATTCATTCTCACTTCACCTCACTAGACACTCACATGATAATTTTCCTTGTAATAACTCTACCTTAATTCTCATTCTTTCTTTGGATGCATTAGGATCAATTCCCCCTTCGCAAGGAGGGTTTCCTAATATTTTTCTTGTTTCTTATCTTCAAAAAAACTACTCCGTACTAAAAAAAAAAAGAAAAGGGGGTTGTTGACATCATAGTTTCCATGTCAACTTTTCATCAATTCAACTTTTCCTATTTAAATAAATTAATATTCTATTTTAATATTCCAAAACTAGTTCTTAGCACGAACATTGCCTCGAGTCAACGAACGTATCTTCATTTATTAAATTTTTGTTTTTAAAGATAATATCCAAATTTTCGTGATTTAATGGTTAAGGTTTTAATAATTCTAGTCTTGAGATCAAATTATGAGATGAAAATTGATACGTAACACCTAAACTTGTTTAGGATCGATTTTATTAATATACTAGACTACTCTCGTGCGATGCACGATTTGATCAAATAAAATTTTGTAAATTTATTTATTTTTTCATACCAAAATTAAAAACAAAAATATTCTCAAAACAAATAAAACATCAAATATTAAATTTAAAAAAAAAAATAGAGCTCATAGAAAAATCGAATGATGAAAAAGGTACCTGAGGACGAAAAATTAAATTATTCTTGTTAAAGATAATAGAACGTTTTTCAGAATTTGATACTAATAATATTGTAGCTGATTAGAATTTTAATAAAATAAAATAAAAATCACAAAATGATGACACTAATTATAGTTTTGGATGGAAAATTTTTAATGACAACATGACATATGTCTAATTTTAAAATAGAATGATGTCAGCAGTTGCTACTTTAGTACTTCCTCTGTTCCACAAATATTGGGACAAGATGAAATTACGCATCCCAAAGCACATTTTATATGTTAAATATCTATAATTATATAAGAGTAAAAGTTATAAAAAGTTGATATTGTGAAAGTATTTTACGAGACGAATCTAACAAGACCCCACATAACTATATTTTACCTTACGTATAAATCATAATTTGTGATCAAACAAGCATGATAAATAGTGCAAAAGTCTAGTTATTGCAATATTACTAGAACGAAGGAAGTATTAGTTATAAATAGATTAGTATAGATATAGTTAGGATTCTATATTTTTTCATGCGCTTATTGCAATAATTTTCCAAACACTTTCATTTTATTTTGCTTACTTTTTTTTTTTTTTTTTTTTTGGATAATACTTAATATATGTACAAAGTATATATATTTTTTCTATTAACCTTCAAGCTAAGTCTTTAGCTATATCAAAATTTAAATCGCTCATGTTTAAAATCGTGCAACGCATAAGTACTAACTCCAATCACATAACATAATGAATAGATGTTTAATATTCAAATTTGACAAGTCACTAGGTTACAAAGTAAAGATTTATTTTTTCTTCTTATTTTTAAGAAAGAAAATAAGTTTATAGTCACAACATATGTAATGAACATGGACAAGAAGTTATGTGCAATTTCCCAACTTCTTCATCCTCTTTTCAGTAGGGTTTACTATATGACTACAACATGGTTAAGGTCCTTTAAATTCATTTTCCACCTCTCATGGTCTAAATGAACCGTCTCTTGACTCTAAGCTTTCTTCACCAAGAACTTCATATTGTATACTCGAATGCCCATCCACATCAATTTTGATTGGTTCGGATTTGTTCTCACTACGAAAAATAGCAAAAAGTTAGCATCCATAGTCAACAGAATAATGAAGACAATTTTTTAGATCATAGATGGGAAATAAACATGGACTGCCATTGCATTACAAAATTTAGATAACGGAAAAGAAGATGCAAGAGAGAGATCAGTGTGTACGTTTTGCAATAGATGACTAGTCCCATAACCACGATTGCGAAAGAAACATAATATAACCAATTAACCTGTACATACAGAAATATGTTCTCTTAATTATCACATCAGCAGTTCAATTCAGGAATTACAGGTCTAAATTCCATCATAAAGTTGTAAAATTTAGGAATCAATCATGCATGAACTTGTATATATAGAGGATAATAAGGGTTAAATTAGTACCTCCTCGTGATAAAATAGTATGCGGATGATAACTGCCCACATATCAGATGTAAGTATAGATAGATTGAACAATGTAGCACCACTTAGCTACACACAAAGGTACGCAAACGCATCAAAAACAGAAAGAACAATTCTCCTCACCAAAAAGCAGTAATTAACTTGATCTAAGAAAGAATCAGAGTTGAACAGAATCAATACGCATATAATTATATAGGAAGGTTAAACGCACCCTACCTTTAAAATTAAAGGAAGAAGGCTGTAGAACAAACAAGTTCCTACTGCAAATCCAGCAAATACTAGTATCTGAAAGAAATTTAAAATCAGTCATTCTACCATTTCAGAGGAGCCATTTCAGAGAATGCCAGAACTGACTGAGTATCTTATGCTAAAATCAACTTTTTCACTATCAAACTATCTGGATTTTCTTGATTAATGATAAGTTTATCATCTCATCTAAAAGTTAGAAAGGTCATACATTGAACTTTTCTTGAATTTTCTTGATTAATGATAAGTTTATCATCTCATCTAAAAGTTAGAAAGGTCATACATTGAACTTGTTGTAGCCTTTGGTCATTAAATCAGAAAAGCACAGGCAGAGTGAAACATTTACATCAAGAAAATCATGTGTATTCCATAACCCTACAGAAATTATGCAACAAGTTATACTTACAATATCTGTAGACCACTCAATTGCTTCCAAATTGTGCCTTTCAAATAGCGTACTGATAAAAAGTTATGGATTGAAATAATTTCTAGAAAGTTACCATTATGCAACATGATGCTTGAATCTTGAAAACTAATAAACAGGTATATAGCAGCTATACAAGGATACATCTGACAAATGCTCACCAGCATTCCAAAGACACCAAGCATTGAAATTACTTCAACGATGTCTTTCTGTTTGACACAGAACTCCTGTATACAGGTTTGTAAGTACGTTAGAGAAAAGAAGACGAGCAAACATTGTGCTAATAGTTGCAGGAATATGACTGAGACCAAATTGTCTTTAGGCCAGACTGAAACATTTTAAGTAATTTAGTTTCATTGTTTTATAGTTCGAGATACTTGATGTTAGCCTATGATGAATATGCAGATGTAATAGCAAGATAGTGCAGGACAAAAGGAATGCAATTGAACCAGGACAGAAAGATAATCGTAAACAACTTACCTCACCAACATTACTCAATGCATAAAACAGAGTTGCAACTGTTACTAGAAAATCACCAAAAAGAGGTCTAGATCCACCTGAAAAAATCAATGAAGAATGTAAAGCTAAATCGGCCGTGTCCATTACTTCATTAACAGCTTTAATGGCGACTACAACATGAGAAAAGATTAGATCAGCTGAAGCCAAGCCAATAAAGGGTACGTAACTTTCATCTATGATGTATTTATGTGTCCTAAACTGCATCAACTTAGGCCTACTTGATATTATTATCTGCAATGTTTCATATTAGAACAATATCATCTTATGCATTGTTTTAGGCTTTGGCATATTATCAAAGAATACATGCAGTGGACAGGCTTGTAGATACTACTTACAAGTATACCATTATTTTGCCTTTGTAGCAATGAAAATAAAAAAACGGAATGCTAGTTGCCATGAGTACTTACTGTGATGTGCTGAACAGTTGTAACATTGTATATGCTTATATTAGCTTAATGAAAGGATATCTGGTGTGCATAACAGATATTAAAGAACTACAATATGCAAAAGGAATATGAGAGAACAAGTTAAATTGCAAACTGAGAGGCTCCTGAATCAGATAGACAGATACTGCAGTTTTTCTACAATGAACAAAAGGAAGTGTTGATGACTCTTAAGGGTTGTCATAGGCATTAGGCAAAACCGCAAAAATAAAAACCAATAAAAAACAATTCATGAGATAAAGAAACACTAACCTCCACCACCAATCCTAGCATCAGAGAGAAGGGCGAAGCAAAGGCCAACTACACATGTTGCAGCTCCAATGTACTGCCATACATTGTATCTTGTGCCTAGGAAGACCCATGTCAAAATCATCACCCAAACTATAGTCCAGCAGTCAAATAGTGTCACACTTGTGATGGAAGTATACTGGAATGCCTTAATACCTGCATAGAAGGATCTATATAATCAGAAAAATTATCAGCAATACAAATAACAACATAGCAGTAAGAACAACAGATAAAAATACTAAAAAGTTTAAAGAAGAGAATCTATACTAAAAAAGACTGATACTATTAACGATGTACACATACGTAGTATATAAGCACAATATATGCATTATACATGTGCAGAACATTGAGAAACAAACTATACAGTATAATCAGTTCATAATCAGATTTTCCTCATTCTATTTTCATAGAAACTTGTGGAAATCAAGGTAATACAATAAGCCAAGACTTAACATGCCCATAAAAACCAAAGAGATTGCTGAAAATCGCAAAATGAGATAGCAACATATTCGAGCAATCGAACCAGCCAGGTGCCAAGTTATGCAACACAAACAAATCTTTGCTGATATGTCAACAGTAAAACTTGAGACATTCATCTTAGAAAAATGTCAAAGAATTGGAAAGTGTACAAGTGTAATCATAAAGTTTGGCATTCAACTGTAACCATTTCATCACTTGTCTTATCCTAGACAACAGTACATGCTATGAACTTTGGATCTTATATTCGACACAACAAGAACCCAAAACTCGAAATTGATTACAAGCCACAATAGAAAAATGAGGAAGGAGCTAAGTTTTTTTGCAATACCAATAAGAAGCAGTGAAGAACATATCTGCCTATGTTAAGGATAACTAAAGCATGATTGTAGCACTATAAATAAATGTACTTAACTTACAAAGGAAATTCCCTTGAACATCAACAAATGCTAAGAGGGCATAATAATACCAAGGAACCTGCATGTCCAAATTCCAACATAAGAAATCATTATCTATGCATAATTGGTTCAAGCAGATATTTTACCTTTTCGGGCACATATAGACTTTATGCATAAAGGATCTAACAGTGATGTAGACGGGGTTCGATATAACTTAAGTCAGTACCAAAGTTTGAAAGGTGAGCATACCAGTAATTTCTTACGCCTAAAGAGCATGATACTTCCATAAATTGAAGTCAAACCTAAGTAAGTAAAGAATGACTGTGTCACTGGGGCATCAACACCTGTCATAAATTAACACAAAAATTATTAAAATAAATAAAAAATTAAAGTTTCCGAAAAAAAATAAAAAAATAAATAAAGAACCAGATTGAATAGATCTCAATGTTTCATATGATTTCTGTTAGTATAACCGAAATTGATTTACATTAATAAAATGTCCGCTCTAACTTTTCCCCAAACCAAAAATAAAGAAGGTAAACTTACCACGAGTCGCTAAATAAGAAGCAGCAAAGCTGGTAGTTGCCAAAGTGAAGGAAATAATTTGACCCAAAAAAAGGGTGAAAAGTACACTACATAATGATTCATGATTTTTCAACCAATTACAGCAACCTCTGCATTCCATTTAAAGATGGACGCTTTCAACTTCAAAATTCTAAGAATTGCTAGTATTTTGGGTACTGAATCTAATTTTAATAGCAACAATATCATTACTTTAATAGATAATGCAAAACATTAGGTGTAAGCTTCTGTTCTTTAATTAAGTACGGAATATAGTTTGTGGACATTACATTATTGATGCCATGTAATTGAATTAACTTATTGCTTCAACCAAGTCAAATTAATTTAATAACCTAACTCCTTCCACAAAAACAAAAAAAAAAATTATATATATATATATACGGGGAGGTTCCGCTAAAAACAGAGCTTATGGTGAAAACTAAAAACAAGCAATCTTAGCCATTGAATATTCACTAGATAATCCAATGGTGTGAAACAACCCAGATGTCACTATATACAAAAATAAGGTAATTATGTCAAGTTATATTATTTTTGATGACATTTACACCAAGGTCACTATATATAAAAATAAGGTAACTATATCAATTTTTAAAATATTTACTTAGAGGTCACTATATCCCAAAATAAGGTAATTATATCAATTTTGACCATATTTACATAATGGTCACTATATACAAAAATAAGGTAACTATATCAATTTTGACCACATTTATACAGAGGCCACTATATATAAAAATAAGTTAATTATATCAATTTCGACAACATTGACCACATTTATATAGAAGTCACTATTTACAAATATAAGGTAACTATCATCAGATAACTTTTCCTTCTTCTCCTTGTCATCAAATAACTTCTCCTGCTCCTGCTTGTTATCAGATAATTTTGTAATAGCCAAATTGTGATTCTTCCAAGAACCATAAGCTATCCGATTCCAACGACCTTCCTTTGAGGATCCATTATTTCAGCCCTCCGGCGATGAATAAATAAGCCTGACAATATAAACCATAAATGAAGAGCGAATGAAATAAGAGTAGCTATTATTGTGTAAATTAAACTTACAATGTACTCACTACTAAATCCAAATAAAGCATATATTTCAAAAGGAATATTTTATTCAAAATAATTTCCCTTTGTTTTTCAGTCATTCATGATTTAATAACCAATTACTTGCATAAAATAGTAAATCCTACGCCCTTGAGGATCTTCATCATTAAAAGCTTGAACACTTATCTGTTAGATGCAACAGACTGAATGAGTTTAAAAATATCAATTCTGGAAAATGAGTAGGCTTTTTCTCCGGTATATGCTCTAATAATACACATTCAAGAACATACAGGAAAAGAAAATTGAAATCGTACTTTCCAAAATGCAAGTGCACAATATATTAATTTAACATTTACACATAGGTTAGGTTAATATATTAATTTTGACTACATTTTAAAAAGATCACACCATATAAGCCTACGTAGGATTCGAACCCACATCATGTGCACAATGCAAGTGCACAATGCTCGACCAATTGAGCTAATAGACTTTCAGCACACAAAAACAATAAAGCTAATAACTCATATTATTGCACAAAATTAAGAGTCACTATAACAAAATTATAAATGCTAAGCTTTGCTTTGTGTCAAAAAAAAAAACCCCCAAGTATTACGAGGATATACATCCAACATAGTAAATCACTAACATACTTAATTATCATATGATAACATCATTATATCCATGAATAATCCATGTGCCAATGCTATTATATTGCCGAAAAATCAAGGTTCCCCGCTATGTAAGGGAGGGAAAGAAGATCAACAAGCCAGCAATGCAGCAAAAACCACATACAACCTCGCAAACTCAATATGCTATCAATCATCATATGATAATATGTCTAATCCTAAGATTAATCCATTTTTCATCATTACACCAGCAGCTTCCTCGGATTCAAAAGCAAGATGAGATCAACAAATTAACAATACATTACAGAACAACAACCAATCAGACCAGTAGAACACATCCTGCACTTCAACACACTCAAATGCTAAAAATCATCAGATGATAACACACTACGCCCATGATTAATCCATTTCCTAGACCGTAAACCAAACTTCCTTGGCCTCAAAAGCGAAATGAGATCGACAAACCAGCAATGCCGTGCATTAACACAACAAACACAATGCCACAAATATCACAAATCAATCAATTTGATTACAAACTGAGAAACAATCAAAGATCTAAAAAAAACGCATATTCAATCATATAATAAATACATTACCACTATTGCCGATTAAAAGGAGTTTGATGAGATAATCATAATTAGCGCGAGCTCTCGCAGAAGGAGCATCCATTAATTAAACACTGCTCTGTACGTCACTGTTCTCCTTCACCCCTCCTCCACAACCACCGTCATCCTTCGAATCAGCCACCGATTCAACCAATTCGGCCGAGTCCACTCGCTCCCTCCTCTCCTGTTCACTCCTCTCAGCTAATTCGAAATTCAGACACGAAACTGAGCAAAAAAAAAAAGAAAAACTTAAGCAGCGAATTACTCTTATCGAACGATTCGAGATCGAAAACTGAGCTCTATTCATGAAATCAAAACGAAAATCCTAGAAAATGAATTAAAATCTAGGGTTTGAAGATAGAACAAAAACTTACAAATTCAGCAATCTGAAACAAGGAGAACACAATTTAAGCGATCCGGTGAAGGAGTCGACGGAGGAGAGAGAAAGAAGAGCGTCGTGAACGGCGGAGCGATGGAGAGATCTAGGGTTTTTTTGGGGGAATTGGAGGAGAGAGAAAATGATAAATGGGAGAAATTGAAGCTGGGGGATTCGAGAAGGTAGGAAAGAGAAGAGAGAGGAGAGAGAAAATAATTAGCATGTATCTAATCTCAGCCATTGAATTTTATGTACGGTGGAGATTGTATGTTTTTAGTTTTCATCTTTACACTTGTTTTCACATGATCCACACTATATATATATATATATATATATATATATATATATATATATATATATATATATATATATATATAGGAATAGGATCAGGTAAAAACAAGTGTTAAAATAAAAACTGAAAACTTTTAATCTCAGCCGTTCATCAAATTGTATGGCTGAGATTTCTTTCCTCTTTTCAGACATGAATTTCTCTCTTCTCCTTAATTTTCACGTTATTTTCTCTCTCCTTTCTATTCTCTCCTCTTTCGTACTTTCTCTCTCTTCAACCAGCTTCTCTGTTACTCTCTCTACTGTGTTGCATCAAATTATGGCGAAAAATCTCTAGATTTCACAATCAGGTATGATTATATTCGACAATTTGTTTGTTTTTTTCACGAATTTTCAGCGATTTTTGTGATTTGATATTTGTGTTCTTTCTGTTCAATTTTCATGAATTTTGCATGAGTTCGATTTTTTCTGATTTTATTTTAAGAGTTTCGCATGGAGTTTGATTTATTTTTGTAGTTCGATTTTTGCAAATACAGGCTTCGATTTTGGCTTATTTTTGCGGATCTATAGTTCTATTTTAGATTTCGAATTTCAGAGATTTAGTGTTCAAATTAGTGTTTGATTTTAGCTGATTTTTGCGGAGTTTGATTTTTTTGAGTTCCATTTTTGCAAATGTAGGCTTCGATTTTTGCTTATTTTTTCGGATCTATAGTTCGATTTTAAATTTCGAATTTCAGAGATTTAGTGTTCAAATTAGTGTTTGATTTTAGCTGATTTTACATAAAGTATGAAGAATGCTTCCTGGTTTAAGATACTGACTTTGATTCTATATGTCCGACTTTTGGTGTTGAGCAGACTGCTTAAGCGACTAACCCTGGAGCTACAGACATCTGAGGTGGATTTGTCACTGGCTAACATCTCAGTTCATCTTGATGTTGGGAAGGGAGGAAATAGTGGCTCAAATGCTATTGCCCCCACTATAGAGGTTGGTTCTGAGTTTCTTTTTCTTCTATTTGTTTCTTTTTTCTGAAACTTGGAGCTAACTGCTTGATAGATTGCTTCTGATCATGCTAAATCGACATCTACATGACTTTCTTGACTGTTGAAAAGTGTACTTCTAGTCTGACATATGTGCATGGTTAATTTGACTCTGTACTGGATTTTGCTTCAAAATTTCTGAATTAGGCCTGTTTTGAACTTGAATCAAGGTAGCCAGAATTCGAGGATTTGGATACCTTAGCTCAACATCATGAATAATTATGGGCAGAATTCAAATAGAACATTGTATTACTTAAATATGAGCATAATTCAAATATAATATACAGATCAAATCTAGACAGTTTCCAATTGCCTTGTACTATAAGAGAATACAAGCTGAGCTCAATCTAATATGTGTTTTCTATCTGAATTTTGGAGTCATAGATGAATGAAGAACTACATTTTGAGGTTCCACCACATGTTTAGCAACTAATAAAGTGCTACCTTTTTTTTTTCCCCGACTATATTGTCAGGAATTTCAAGTGTAGCATACCAGTACAATTCTGCTATTCATGGGTTTACATAGCTTAATACCTTGGCCTAACTTTTACCAAGGTATACTTTTACCAATGAAATAAGAGAATTGATACTTTGATTAATGACTAATTCTATTATAATAGAAATATGTAAAGTAATTCATTTAAACAAATTATGTGGCTTTGTATGATACATTCTTGATCAATAAACAATTCTTAGAGCTAATTAGAGCTGTTACATGATTGGCTCAACTTGATTGTGTGGGTGTCAGTATACATTGATTGTCCACTGTAAAATGGATTAAATCAAATTGCTTAGAAGCATATATATATATATATATAAAAACGTCCAACAATACAGACAAAATATCTACTAGTGATCTATTATCACAAAAACTGCATATGCTTTGCTGATGCCACATGTGAGTTTGAATTGTTGCTGATGATTCGTTTATTACATTCACTTGCAGCTGGGAATATGCGCCACTTAATTGCTGAAGCTTGCATGGTTTGGATTGTACTTGATATCAACATACCTTTGGCCTCCTTTCAACCAAAAAAAAGAAGTTACTAGTGGTAATGACAAGTTGGATGAGGCTCCGGAGATTTTTCCTGAAAGTGACTGTATGAATCCTGAAGTGTCTGCTTTTAGACCCACAACTTTGGAAGGGTATGTGATCTGCTTGAAAACTCTGGTAAAGGTACTTGACTTTAGTGAATATGTTTATGAATCTAAAATATGTGTTGGTTTTAAGCCTCTACGTTTTTGGCATGTTGAAAGCCTATTAGCTCAATTGGTCGAGCACCGTGTAATCACGGGATGTAGGTTCGAATCCTACATAGACTTTTTTAATACTTATTTTTATATTTATTGACCTCTGGGTAAATGGTGTCAAATTGATATATATAATTACCCGAAATTTATCTATAGTTACCTTATTTTCGATATAATGACCTTAGATTTATGGAAATGTTGTAAATTTTGGTTCAATCACCTTATTTTTATATATAGTGACCTTTATTTTTGTATATAGTGACCTTTATGTAAATGGTGTCAAAAACTCAGATATAGTTACTTTATTTTTGTATATAGTGACCTTAATGTAAATGTTGTAAAAATTGTTATAGTTACCCTAT